TCCTGGTCGTCATGAGGTATTCGAACCTCGTTGTACTCAAATACAACCGTCCTTTTTGACTTCATCCGGCCCTCTTGGGCCAGTACCTCGTCACTAGGTGCTTGAACCTCGTTGTCCTCAAAGAAAACATCCATTTATGACTTCACCCGGCCCTCCAGGGTCAGTTCCTCGTCACTCATGTCACTCAGACTCATGTCCTGACATCTTGGCTTACAGCCACTAACACCACTCACGGTGTTTAATGGTGTAACATCATTCTCATGACACATGTCATATGTGCCATCAAGTGGGTTCTCAACCACACAATCGCCAGTCATTGGGCCTCGCCCAGGACTATCGTCCTCGACACTTACAGCGTCTACAAAGTCAACTATTCCGACATCCAACATATTAGCCGACTCGGTCCAATATCCACGCCAAAAGCGCTTTTGCTTCCTAGCAGAGGTGGGTTCATGACTCTCCAGAGCCCCACCAGGAGCATTGCGCGTTGCGCCTAAGGTCTGCAATCTCTAATCAATCCATGGCTCATGCCGTTCTAGCCATGCCATGCCTAGGATGAGGTCATACCTCGCATCCAGGTCTAAGACTAAACAGCGTTCCATGCTGTTAAAGTCCAAGAACTTTACATTTAAGTCCATCGGGACTTTGGGTACCGTAACACGCGTACCCGTCGCTAAGCAAACTGTGAATGTGTCACTTTCACGCGCTACAAGAGCTTCAGCATGTTGCTGACTACCTTCCACGGTGGCACGACGGGCATAATTTCCTGATGCCCCCGAATCGATCAAAATGATCCATGGCTATCATAGCCCTTAACCGTCCCTTCGACGACCAACAAGCCTGGCTTGCATTCCCGTTCCGTTTTTGAGAGTTCGGATCTCTTTGGGGCTAGGCCCTGATTACTCTACCTCCTAAATGTTCAACAAAGCTCAGTTCTTCCCCACTAGGGAGCCCCACGCCTACTGGGTTCCGCCGTTTCCCCGCGGCAAACCAGAAGGTTTACCCATGGGGCGTCGGCCTTTCGAGGCCAAATATGCCTTCCTTGCAGGGCATTTTGCCATCAAATGACCTGTGCTCTTGCAGATATCACATCTGCGCACAATCTGCTGCTCCGCAGCTTGAAGCTCAGCTTCTTCATCCTCCACTTGACTACAGTCCATGGGTACAGACAGATCCATCAGACGAGTAGTTATAAATGGCAGGCCTAGCGGCCTTAAAGTTGGTCTCAGCATTCCATGCCACTCCAACAGCTTCCTCGAATGAGGATGGGTTTACCCAGAAGACTTCTGTTCTGGCAACGCCGACTCGGAGGCCCTCCATAAAGACCGTGACGGCCACTGCCTCAGACAAAGGGTCTATGATTATGGCAGAACTGAGAGTTCTCAATTTTTGTACATATGTCGCAAGCTCACGCTTGCCTTGGCGACACGCCGACAACCGCGACGGTTACGGTGTGCTTGGCGGTGCAGACGGCCGGATCATCTGAACTTTCAGATTGGCCCATGTGGGAAAAGCATCTTGCAATGATGCACCACATGTGAACGCCCACTGTTTGGCTAAGCCACCTAACTTGCTCGTGGCAAAGCCCACACGGTACGGTTCAAAGGTGATGTCGGCTATAAGCATAGGTGACTCAACCTGTCGAAACCAAAGCATAAGGTTGTCATCTTCTTTGCCGTCAAACTTATCGACTTCCATTTGTATGGGTTTTGGTCTGCAGACCATTCCTTGCGCCATAGTCGCCATGACCGAAGGCGCAGAAGAAGGCATCTGTGCCTATACATGCTCGACTAGAGCTTTATTATGTTCATCAAGCATATGAAGACGCTTGTTAACCTCTTTTTCGCCCTGGGAGATAAGGTACTCCACGCCCTTAGGGCCAAGTATAGGAAGCAGCTTCTGCAACCCTTCCTGTTGTGCTTGTGACAGGCCAACCGCTGACATCTCGTCGATGTTCATTCTCACACAGAAAAGTAGTCGCAAACCCAGGTGCGGATTGACTGCGGGTGCTACCAGGTGTAGCCGAGCTACTCTAGCAACGCTACTTATGCACTATGTGCAGAGGAAGACAAGCATAGAGAGCTTCTACGTCTTAGGATGCTTTACCCTCGTAGGCTAGCTTGTAAGCTTATGCATATCGGTTGTTACAACCGAGTCTCAGAGAGACTTGTATCCAAGATACTGATTCCTTAAGAGGAATAGAATGCTCAAGCTGTAAGGCTTACAGAGCAGGTTTGAAACTAATTTATATTTACGTCTATCTTCTAACACTAAATATAGAAGCACCTACTGTATACTTAGTGCTAGTCACTATTTACTGGCTTTATAGCCTAATATTATGCAAACATGCATAGTCACTATACTTTAAATAAGTATAGTGACCACGTGGCTCTCTGCCAAAACGATGTGACCCTTCGTACTTCCGGATACGGTCACATCAAGCCTACTTTTGTACCCAAGGTACAGCCACACCACATTGGTGTGGCAGGTGTGTATGTACAATACACACCTTCGTGTAACCCCGTTACAGAAGAAGTCAAAGTCATGGACACGTGATGCTCACAGGGTCGAGGTGCATCGAAACGTGCGCAGACTATCAGTGTTCGGGAGGAAAGAACGTGAATAAAGTAAATTTACGAGCGCGGTCCCAAGAAATATTAACAAGCGATGCGCATCAGCAAGCGCGAAGGATGGGAGATAGCCATGCGTGAAGAGATGGAAACTCTCGAAGAAAACAAGTATTTGCGGTTGGTCAAGTAAGGATCCAGCATTAATGCACAGCACACCGAATGGGTATTTGAAATGAAGAAGCGATCTCAATTGGCTTGAGCTCGACTTGTTGCATGCGCAATTGAACAAGTTTTTCGTGTTGATTACCAGCTTACCTTCGCCGCAGTTATGGACATGTTAACGGTCAAGACTTACAAGGTCTGGACATTGACGAAGAGACTATAAAGTCTTTCGGCTTGTCAAGCAAGAACGAGCTTTTGCTGGGAGTATGCAAGAGTTTGTACGGCCTCAAGGAGGCTGGTCGATCATGGAGTCAGCTTCTTCACGCAAAGTTGTGCGATGCGGTCTTCACACAGTGCGTATCTGACATTTGTATCTACTGAAAGCGCGATGATAATGACATTGTTGTTGTGGTTGTTTACGTGGATGACCTTCTTGTCACAGGCACTGATGCAGCTGCAGCTTACCGTTTCTTCGAAGGACTATTAAGTCTGTCGATAAATACTCGGCCAAGCAAGCAAGTTTCTTGGGATGCGAGTGGTGCTTAACGAAGATGCTTGCTATCTGCTGGACAAGTTGGAGGCTATAAATGACTTGCTTTGTGAGCCCGGACTCTCGGATGATAATATGACACTTGCGCCTATAGGTTCTGACTGCTACGAGGTGTACCCAGGTGATAGTGCATTACTCGAGGTCAAGGGCAAGAATGGATTACCAACAACGACGGAATAGCAGTCACTGGCTGGGCCGCTGCTTTGGGTTGCGCGATGCACGCGGCCCGACATTGTGTTTGAAGTCCACAAAGCGACACGTTAAGCTCATCACCACTATTCTACGACTAAAAGCTTGCACAGCGGGTGGTGCGCTACCTAATAGGTACGACGTCGATTAAACTTAACACGACACCAAGCGAAATAGAGTATGGGCTGAAAGTTACAGCGACGCGGATTTCGCCGCGGACAAAGTTACATGAAGTCTTTGAAAGAAGATATCATACTTGTCAATGGTATGCTAATCAGCTGGTGTGCCAAGAAACAGGGTGGCGTATCCCTATTGACGATGAAAGCTGAATTTGTGGCGGCATCGGAGGTTGCGCGAGAGCTTTTAGGCATACGCGAAATGCTATGCGAGGTTGGCGCAGAGTGCCAAAATTGCCCATGTTAATGCATGTGGACAATTAAGCCGCTATTCGACAGCTTAAGGGTGAAGCATCGTCGCTCAGGGCCAAACATATTGAAGTTCGAGTCAAGTTTGTTTGCGATTTTTCTCGGCGTGAGATTGTGCTGCCACATTACGTGCGATTGGAGCAAATGCTAGCCGATTTGCTGACCAAGGCACTCAACGCAATTAAGCTTGAAAATTTGCGTGCTTTAATGCGTGTTGGTTAGGACAGTAAGTCTTAGCCGATGTGAAGTGTCAAAAAATTGAGTGTTTTCCGAGTCGGTTCATCCGACTATGGTAAGAATGTACATGCATGAAGTGGCGTGCTGGGGTGGTTGGAGTGGCGGTTAACAACTTAGGGCCTGTCGTGTTACTAGCTCCGGTGTGTTTTAGCTGCAGGAAACAGCTTAGATCAATATTAGCGGTAGAGAGGCAAGACAGATAATACAAGGGCAACAGATAATGACAGAATCTTTCTTTTTCTGTGCTACAGACTTCCTCTCTGACACTAGAATAATTGCTAGTGAACAACTTTCTCGTTCGATTTCCTGCTGCTGTTGTATGCGTTTGCGTCAAAGACCGGCGTTAATTTTGTTGGTACGATGTCATCGGACATAACGGATAACGTTGCAGAACCGGCGGGCTTATAACCTGTTGCGAGTTAAAGAGTGACTAAGGTAAAGACAACTCGGAAACTCGGCTTGAACTAGACTTAGTAATTTTTAGAATGGCTAGCTTAACGCTACCCGATAAGTGGCTTGTTCTCCTCCTACTCATGTATATACGCATGTTTCTTACCTCCGTCATCTGCGGTCTTCACGCGCCCTCAATATGGCCCAGTTCTGTGCTGTAGAATCCTGTGCAATCGGGTTCCTTCAGACGTGTGGATACCAGCACCGGGTCGCGGCTTGTACCGTGTTTTCCACTTGATGCTCTTGTCATCATTGCTGTTGCCGTAACATCGTCGCAACAGAATGTACCAATATTATTTGGTCTATAACGTGTAGCAGGGAGTTATGCAACATGTATGAGGACACAATATTGGACGGCTTTAGCAACCTTAGACATTTATTACGACATGTCTGTCTAGCAAATTACACCATTTTCTACTACAAGTCAAAATTTTCAGTGGGAGGGGCACCAGTAGATTGGCCACTCGAGCAACGACTGCGTAAAGGTGCTTTTGCCAAACCCTCCATTAACTCACGCAACTCACCACTTTCGTCGCAAGCCCTTACTCGACGGTCAGCACCCAACGCTCGAGCGGGTGGAAGTGCAGTTGCACCTGCAGAAGTATGCGCTTGTCTTTGCTCTTCGTTCGAGGAAGACAAGCAAATACCAAATCGACCGTGCCCTTCTTCGTTGTCTTCTTTGCTGGATGGAACCTCACCAGGTCTGACTTCCATTGCTTCACTAGCTTTAAGAGATCGCTGGTCAAAACTTCGTCTATGTACCTTCTGGAATCGATCCTCGGGGTCATACACGTAAAGTGTAGTTCCTTTAGCGGGTGTCGGTGCTGCCGATGTCATTGCAGATGGCCGAGTAGTGTTAAACCGTGGAGGAATTGGGGGTGGAAGTGGAGGCGGTGGTAGCGGTGCCCTTCTTAATCTTCCAGAACAAGAATTGCGTGATGGAGCCGACATCAAAGACGAGCTGTTGGAGGGTGTTTCTGATATTGCCGCCAAATCTCCTGTCCCTGGGCGTCGGCGCGGAGGCGCATGCGTAAGCTCACATGAGTTCATGACACCACGCAGCCTTGCCACAAGGTCTGGAGGAGCACGAGATGGCTCAGACAGTCGCATACTTTGCAAACTGAGTTCTCTACGTGCAGTTAGCAAAGAAAAAGGCGGAGCCGCTCCATCTGCAATATCCACTTGCTCCTCTTTTGGGGAATTTGTCACTGCAGACCCTCGAGGCAGTTTCAATGCCGGTATCCCTACAGATCGACGTGGTATAGGTTGCTTTTCAGGTTCGGGCTCGTCACCAACGTTATTATCTCGCTCGTCCATCGCAGCAGGAACAGCCAAGGAAGTTGATGTAACAGGACCAGTGACAACGGACATCGGTTCACTGCTGGTTGCCTCAGACTTACGCTGGGTGATCTCAAGGCGCTGATGAAGGCGTCCAATCTTATGTGCAAGTCGCTCCGTCCCAAGCTTTCTACTTTCGCTAACAATCGGACTAGGTGTCGGAGTTGATTTTACTAACGGCTCTGCATCAATATGATCGTCAATTTTGTTACGCATTGACGGCGCTGGACAAAATGGTCGTAAAGTTGCGGTAGGTTGGGATTGACGAACCCACTGCAATGCTTCCTCAAGCGCACGCGCTTCTTCAACGGCATTTTCCTCCTCTGGAGTCGGTGACGGCAGCGGTTCACCAGCATCTTGGTGGTTCAATGACTGCACAGATGGCGACAACAAGGACGAGCGTGACGAGTAAAATTCGATGCTTTCACTCTCTATGGTGCTCCTGTGCTCGCTGCCTGTTTCTTCGCTGAAGCTAAAAGCTAAGTCACTATCCAGTCGATCTGAAGTTGAATTGTTGGATGAACACACAATGTCGTTGTGGCTAATAGACTTGAGCACAGCGTCAAAATCTGAGCTGGATATGTCAAGCGTTTCGCGGACTTTCATAATGCGGTCGAAGATCTTATCGTACCGTTCAGCACCAGCGTGAGGATCTCCGCTGCCTCTCTCAAGAAGAATACTATGACGTTCCTCTTCTTCCTCCGCTTCCGAGACGGCTATATTAATGGTGTCACGAATTTGACGAGCGTATTCCACGAGGGTGTCAAGCGCCTTCTTTTTCGCATGAGCTGACAGTCTGGAAGAACACAACGTCAAATAACTGGATACGCTTGACCGTTGCTCTCGCCGCGCTGATTCGGACGTCGCTCGCGGGAACTGTGCATTGCTAGCATCTTCATAATTTTCTTGGACGCTCAAACGTTTACACCGCTGTTGAAATGGCGGGAGTGGAGAACGTAATTGAGTTGGTGCTGGTAATAACCCACGCAACGATTCTTCGATGCTCTCTCTTTGCATTCCTAAGTGCTTCGGATAACGTAGGCCTCCCACATAGGTTTCAGTCCCAATATTTGTCGTAGATGTTGCAGTGTCAAGCATGTCGTTTTCGCTACTAGTTATTCCAGACAACAGGTTGCTGTCACATCGACTACCCGCCTGAGCCATACACAATGAACAGACCCGCAGGCAATGCGCATGTTTATCCAACGGCTCTCGCAGTGGGGCACAATTTGCGCACACGACCTCTCCACACGTCGCACAATGATGCTTACGATGAAAATAAAATCCACGCAGACAAACGGCACACGCTTTGCGATCTTTCGTGGAGACCCAGTCCCATTTCTCCAAGTTCTGCAACCTGCCCATTCGTTGTCGTTCCAGCAACCCTTTGACACGATGTACTGCCGCTACAAAGTCTACCATAATCTCCTGCATTGTCACTCTTACTGTAGTAGGTTCCATTGCGCCATCAATTTGTGCAATTGCAGTAATCTTTAAAATATTTGACTGATGTGTCTTTGTAATCACAATACCTGATCGGACCAACTGTCCTCGTAAGATATCGTATCTCTCAAGCGTTGGTACTTCTCGATCTCTATCAATTGACTCCTGTATACAATAGCCGACGACACAATTTGTCATATCCTGCGCTTTACACTTGCCTGCATATTCTAAATAACAAAAGTCCAGACTCTTTTGTCCTTCTCGTCGTCTTGCTTTGAGCAAAGACCACTTAATTGCACGATATGAATACCTAGGTTTCATATGTTTAGATGATGTTGGAAACGTTAATAAAGTTTTTGTATCAACAACCTCATCACCATGCAAGTACTTCATCGCTTTACGAGCATCTCGTGTCTTGACGTTAGCAATTGCTTCAAGAATCTCCTCTGGTTGAACATCAACAATATGGGCACTACATTTATACAATGTTGATGGTTGTTTCGATGCTACTTGCTTGGTGGTAGGATAAATATCTAAAAATTGCGCTTTCTGAACGTATCGGCCCTTGTGTGCCTTGATGTCCGTCCAGCGATACACACAGTCAGCATCCTCAATAATACGTACCAATTGAGTGACACGTTCTTTGCTCAAACGTCGATAATGCATCAGTTCCTCGACCGTCAAGACAATTTGTGGGAAAAAGCCTGAGTATAATGGAAAAGGCAGTTTTGGCGTCATTGGAACGGTCTCTTTGTACTAGGACGCAGCTTTTAGACTGAGCATGCGAAAAATGACAACGCCAAGTCGGAGGTTTTGGGTACCGGTATGATACATGATACCGATCTGTAGGTATGATCGACACAACGATATGCACAACTGACTGACTAACTGACTCTTCAATCTTAGAGAGAGTCAAGTTCAACATTACAATGGACACTAAGTTTGAAACCGACTTATTTGTTTGTGCTTCTGCTTCTGGTTCTAAGAATGAAAGACAGCAGCAACATGACAGTGCTGGCTGATATCAGTATATTCTTGCAATTCTTGTTTGTGTTTTCTTTTGTTTTCTTTTGATTTGGTGGTAACAGTTGGTAAGAAAAAAAAACGTTTTGAGCACTGGTGAACGAGTTTGAAGAAACTGCAAGTGAAGAGAACCTTTGAGAAGCGTCTGAAACAAGATTGATGTCGCGTTGATACTGTCTGTTGTTCTAGCTGAAGAAATGCACATATTACGCAGGCGTTGTTGAAACAGCTTACAAATTTGTGAGAGACGTGTCCATTTGGTACCTATAAAAACTGTTCGAGCGGCTCTTCTGCTCACCGTTGTCGACGCGTCGATATTGTGCAACACTACATGTATATCGATGCTATGCCTGCACGTTCAGCAAGGTTGGATTTATGAAATGGTATAGTATTACCTCACAATTCTATCGCCAAGATGACGCAAGGTATGACAACGTCATTGTCGTGTCAAACTTGGCAACACTAATGGTGTTTTTATTGCAGATGCATGCCGACGGGAGCGCGACATTCGGGGCAGCTTGGGTTATACCGCAACCACGACATGGCGCAGTTTTCATGGAAGACATGGGCACACGGCAGCCTCACTGGAAAAGTAAGACCATCCACAGATGGCACCGTCGATTCATTGTCGATGTAATGACCACTTCCGTTATTGTTGCCGCTGTTGTAGTCGTAATTGGTTTCAGGCAGTACAAGCCCCTTCATTTTGCTTGATGTCAGCGGCTCGAGGCAAATACTACAAGGGTACTCAGCGCGTGCAGGCAGTAAATCCTCAACATCTTCAAGACTAAGGATCGCGTCGGCGTACATGCAATTCGCGTCTAGCACGCTTTTGGGGAGTGATAAAAAGCCACGCATCAGAAGGTAGATACTAAGAACCTCAAGCCCCAGTGGGGTTGGCAGATAGGGCTCGACCACTAGCACGGGGACAATGACCTCTAATGATTTCCAGCAGTTCGATAAAAAGACCTCGAGGTCAGTTTTTCCGGCATGCATAGTGTTGACGTCTGCTTGGATAGAAAAGGCCGCGTCATGCAAATGCTCGTAGCGCTGGAAATTTTCAGCCAGGATTTGAAGAAATACTTTGAAGGGTTCCCATTCGACAGCAGTATCATGATCTTCCAGCTGCATCTGCTGTATATCTTTTGGCAGTACGAGGAATTGTGCTACAATTGGATGGTGCAGAATGGCATTGACTTGGGCGTAAAAGCGATGAAACTTGGTCTGGCTTATTGCGATGATCCACAACGATTGTGTCGTGTGTCCACCGCTCAATGTCGTCGAACTGCTTGATGTCTTTGATAAGCAGGTGCTTGTGATGGTTAGCGAAAGGGATAGCCGGTACACGACCGACATGCCGACACACAACAGGCGCGCTTGCACCATAAAGCTGAAGTTAGATGGCTGAAATTTCCAGCACATCTTGCGTAGCCGACGTTGCATGGAGACACTGTTGACACGGACAATTGTGCTATGCACCTGTTGAAAGTGTTTAGCCTTGCGTTTGGCTTGCATGACCTGCTTTACCATTGCTCGCCTCTTCCAAGGCTGATAAAACTAAAATGACGACAAAACGTATCGTGATTCTCTGAGCTTGAGTTTGCGTGACGTTGAGCACCAAACTGGACCTAAACCCGGACTTCCTGTCTTGAACTCGCATTCTACAGAAGTTTTATGGTATATTGTTGCAGGGCCCTGTCGTAGGCGATGCAGACTTTTCTCGTGACGACTATAAGGACGTAAGAAGCTGAAACACTGTAGTATTATTGGATGTGCATTGCAGGATTGAATTTTTGCCAAGGTGGAGCTGAATAGTTAACAAGCTGTTGGTAAACGATGTAGCAGCCTTTCATGTTGGGTGATATAGTATTCACTCTAGCTAACGTGAATCCGTAAATGTTACTCTGTCTAGCAACGCGTTGACGATCTGAGATGTCGACTTTCCGTACTCAATCCGATCATTGTTAGGGCAGATGTCACATGATACGACCCTACACAAAATCTGAGAAGCAGGATAAGCTCGTTCATGTAAACTCAAGGGTCCTGTGCCAATATCTGATAACTCAACTGCCCAAGAGATTGAATTGGTAGCATCACATAGCGTCTAGTCTTGATTCTGATACCAATAGCATAGCAAGCAATACCTTTTAGTAGAAATGGCCTAGTAGCTCAGCACTAACCACAAATGGAGACAATGCCATTGCTTAGTATATAACTTTGGTGCTGGATTGCATTCCAGCTAAGCTCAGTTAGCAGAGTATTTGTGCGCTATTTGATACTACTGCTTATGTTATAAAATAATGTATGTACGGAAGAATGTAGTGTCGTAACATTGCGTATTGCGTAGTAATTCATACAAATGATGCATGCATACGGTGAATCGATCGTCTTCTATATAGAATAACAATAAATCAAACAAAGAGTAGTGTATCAAGTTTAGAAATACTTAATTTAGACATTCTATTTCAATTTAAGCAATTCAAGTCAATTCCAACTTTTAGGATACGTTGATCAAAAACCATCGGCCATTTGACCCATTTCCATTTATTTTATACGTCGACACACAAAAAAGTGCTTTTTATCACATTTTAGGCCCAAACTATAACCAGACGTGGCCCACACGTCTTCATTGAACCGATCTCAATAATTATTGATGGCAGACGATGTGCCAAGTGCAGACACTGCGTTCTGGCGCCAGTTTGAACGTGATTACTATGCACTTCTTGGTGTATCACGTGATGCATCAAGTGAAAAGATTCGCAGCTGTTTTATGTCGTTATCACGTGAATTTCATCCAGACCGCCATCCTCGACGTTATGGTAACGCAGCGCTCGTAGCAGCTGCTAATGCACAATATGCGATACTCGATAGGGCTTATAAGGTTCTTTGTGATCCAATCAAGCGACATGTATATGATATTTATGGTGAGAAGGTGAGTCGTCAATATCTATGGGAATGAATAGCTCTGTAATTGATATGGGTCCATTCTCATTTCTAAAGACCTTTTCGTAGTAATGACCTAAAAAGCTTTTCTAATGGATAAATACATGTGATAAATTGACTAATGTTGGTACTTTTGTCGTGTATTATTTGGAGGACAGGGGGTACTTGCATTGGAACAGAGTGGTGTTGCACAAGACCATGCATTAGGGGCTCATATCAAGTCATCAGATGAATTACAACACTATATGGAAAAGATCATGCAGCGCATGAATCAGCAAGCTCTCGAAGCACAATTTTCATCTTTTAGTGAAATGTCCATGGCTGTCGATGCATCTGATTTCGTGCAAGCACCAATGCAGGGAATGCGAAGTTTGTTTCACAGTGGAGCTCGATTTGTGGATTGCACAGAGATGAGTATTCATCAACGTACAGTATTTCCACTCTCACGAAGTACGACACTCACACTTGGAGGTTATATGTACGACAAGAAGGGACTGGGCATGGGTAGTTTTACAGCGCAGTGGGCACACACGTCATTCGACCCGAGTATCCCGTCATTCACTCTTACAAGTGAGCTTGGCTGGGCACCGAAGCTTAACTGCCAAATTAGTCAACCAGTGTCACCGTACACAGTGTTCATGCTCATTTCAGAGCTTAATGACAATGGCCTCGACATCTCGGTCGGTGCTAACCAACTACTGACGCCTCAGCTTCACGGTGCAATGATGTGGAGTACACGCGACGGTCTTTCTAGCTCGCTCAGCCAGGATACGGGAACTTACAATGCCACGGTGGCTGTTGCAGTGAATGGTAATGGACCCAACTTGACGTTTCAGTTTCGCCGTGCCCTCGCGGCTGCAATGACGGGCAAACTTTCTTTACGAGCAAACCTTGCGACAGGATTATCGATTGCGGCAGGAGCTAGTCGAGAAATATCAAACCGGACACGATTGGGGTTGAACGTCTTACTTGCGCGCGCAGGTGTGACTCTACGTGTAGGCTTCACTCGCGGAAGTGTGCGCTTCGTAATGCCTATTTTCTTGTCTCCGTTCTCCGGACAGTCGGCATTCTCTGCTTTTTGTGCGGCTACTTCGCCCTTTGTGGTGGCTGCAGTCGTCAAGCAGCTCGTGAGGCCTGCCCAAAAGCGCAAGCGTCGTCTGGAAGCAAAGCACCGGCATGATATGCGTGTGCAGTATCTCACAGTTGCGCGGCAGAATGCACTGGAGCAGCAAAAGTTGATGCTTCGCTGTGCGAAAGAGAAGATGGAGCACGAGCAGCAACGAGAGGACGGCAAGGGGTTGGTGATTTTACTGGGTCGGTACGGCAAGGATCCGACGAATCCTGACCAGCATGAGGCTCGAGGAAATGATTTAGACATGGCGCTACAAGCGATGCGGGAGCACGATCTGAACGACGAAGTTAGTGATAAAGACGACGCTGACAGCGGTGATAGTATTGCACAGCAGGAGACAGACGCCGAGGTGCTAAAGCTGAGATGGATTGACGTTTCGGTTCCTCTTCAGTTCTTTGTCAAGGTACGGAATAATGTGTCATTGTTCAAACTGATTGAAACCTACTGAGAGTTGCTTTTGTGTCGGCGGCATGTAGGATGGAGAACTGGTTCTGTCTTCTTCATCAAAGGCCGGACTGCTAGGATTTTACAACCCTTGCGTTGGTGAAGACGAAACCATTGCTGACGCACGTTTGCTCTCAAGCTCTGCTACGAAGCCATTGCTGTAAGAGCTTGCACTATTGTGTTGCGACTGGTGACTTGCATGTAGCTAACGTATTTCTTTCATTTTTGACATTGCAGCTATGTGCGTTATGCGTATGACGGTCTGGTGTTTGAAGCCACTTTTGACGATGACCAAGCGGTTAGTTTGCCATCGCGATACGCCCGGGTCATGGGCCGTGTAGGAAGTGTGTACTAGAATACATGTGGAGATGTATTGCTTTTATGAGAGCTAGAACCTAGGTGCCTAGGATTATGTCGGGGGTGTTTATCCTACCTTGTTCACTCTATGAATTGATCGATCAGGACGTAGGAGGGAGTATTGTGAAGTGTCTGTGCTTGCTTCATTCTTCCGTTGGTTGGTTTCAGCCTCTAATGCTGCTATGTGAAAAGCGCAATGCCGACTGTGTCCTGAACAACGATAGATATACAAGTTTTGAACTCATGTCAAAGCATCCAGTTTCTAGTAGTGTTATAGCTAGTTATCACCAGAGCAGGTCCTGTGACGCCTTTTTTAAAGGAGTTAGCGGGAAGGATGGTGCAAGAGCTCGGCTCAATGCATTGCACATCTGATCCCGGTATAGCCACATGCACGTCTCAGACGACCGATACCACGAGACATGACAAGCACAATCAGACGGACGCTTGTACTCACGTTTATGTGTTGACGTGTGTAGGTTCGTGTACGTTGCGGTCTTCGTCTTTAGACGACCGACAAACTAAACGAAGCCACAGCATTTCAGTATAAATGCTAAAGCCCATGTCATCGGTCGATTGTAAAAAGAACTAATGTACATGCACTGTTTGCCCATGAGCTCTACCCTTTGCAGAAAAAGCTGATGACAACAATGAACCTTGGCTCAATATTTCTTGCTGCTCGTACATCATGTGTGGAAGCATTTCATACAGAGTCACAAGTTAGTAAATATACTGTAATGACCGTACGACGGTAACGGCTTTCGATTTTTTCCATCGATCCATAAGTATGTCGCGGACTAAGATAGTTGTCCAACGATATCAAGCCAGAGTCGTTTGTGTCTCTTCGTGCCCACGCGTTAACATTTTTCAATCTAAGCTCAGTAGCGCTCTTATCAAACTCGCTTCAAGGATGAAACTGCTGGTAGGAACAAAGTGTATGTGTTGCTTACCAAGCACCATAAAGCATTAGCTGAAACCAAAGCTCAAGATGTAGCAAAACCAAAGCTCAAGATGTAGCAAGTTACAAGATGTTGCATTTGATTGTGTCTTCAACAGCAGATACGACATCAAAATACGAGAGATACATTGATGTTCTCACCACGCATCATGCTACCCTTGAACTTGTAGAATCTAGACGGGTATCTTGTTGCAGTCGTCATCCATTTGCGTGCGTCTCGCACCCCTTCCACAAGTCGACGGACACATGTAATCCATACGACCGGTGCAGTTTCTTTTCTGGAAACGCTATGACCACTACGAAAAGGCAGTGAATGGACAGAAGGAGTTTACTGACGACAATAACGGCCATGACTTGATGACAAGAAGATGTTCACTCTACGAGTCCTGCTAGCTGGCTCTCTCTCTTTCTCGGTTCTATTATACCTAGTAGGAAGAAGAAGAAAAAAACAAGACAAAACCTCTCAAGTTGTCGCAGACATTCATCCCATCAGTCTTACAACGTGTTTTACTGTACCCATCACGATCGGAGGGCATAGAGACCCCTTTCTTTGACCGAAGACGACCACAATTGCACGATAACGCTCTTTGCCAGAAGCCGCCTCTAAAAAGCCTCGAGCCACGGAACGACGTAAATACTAAACGGCTCACTATCGGATTCCTCTGTCAATAGATACATACCTTATTATTAAAAACCTCTCTTGTAGTAGTGGTCTCTCTCTCTCTGTGTGTCTTAAGGGAATTGTTGTTATTATTGTTGTTGTTTTAATACACTTGTTTCATAAGGGGAACACAAACAACAGACGTCACTTTGTTGTAGAGTCAAAGCTCATCCAGACTCCTTTTTTCCAATCAGCTATATCCCTTATCAAGTCTTTTCAAATCACAGCTCTAGAAAAAGCTCGACTCTCCCTTCCAATGCTCGAGTTCCCCCTACACGATGGTTTTTTTCCTCAGATTGCCCTCAGTAGAGAAGAAGTTAAGTACTATAAACGATTGGGAAAAGAACGTGTGACGCAATTGATTCGAATCATTGAGGATGCCGAGTGTGCATACAAATGGACAAGTATCGAATCAGTTCGTCGTACACATCGATCACGTCTACCTCGTCACACTCGTCTTAGTTTTGAATCTAAAGATAACCGAACCGTAGCTTGTCAACGAGCTAGTTTTCTCGATTTCCAGCCCGTGAACAAGACAACACATGCATCCACTTTACTTAAAGCAAGTGTCCAATTATCCGATACTAAAGTCGAGGAGATTCTACGTGCAGTGGCAAAAGTAAAGACAAAGGATTTTCGAAAGACCATGCAATATATGCACACGGACGGTTTCGTCGATGGACGAACGTTATTCACGTTTCCTCAACAAAGTACTTGTTCAGGTAGTGACGTATCACATTGTGTACCTTCTCGAGCATCTTCTTCCTATCGTGCAATCAAATGGCACGCATTTAAGACCCAGCGATCTCGTCATAGAGAAGATAACAAGCTGTTAGATTTTTGTTTCTTAGAGTATGCAGGGAAGAGAAAAGCACCACCAGGTTCAAATGTAGTGGGCTTTTGTGTACAAGAATCGATTTCAAGAGAACGCGAAGTACCAACTTTGGAAAACTTTGGTATTGCACGAGGATATTTATCGCGAATGGGCCTTATCATCTCCAAGACGCACCAAAAAAATACTTTCAAGGTCACGTCCATTTGTCAGATTGATGGAGACTTGAACCCTATTGTAAGAGGAGTGCTAGAGGAATTGATGAAGAAGACAGTGTGTGCAGTAGCCAAGATCCCAGGACTCGTAGCACGGCAACGGGTAAGCAGTTTGAGATTTGTGGAGCAGTGGCAATGGGTACCGAACTCAGATCGCAAAGCGTGTGCAGTTTGTTTGCGTGGATTCTACTTCCGTCGGAAACACCATTGTCGAACGTGTGGTGAGGTCGTTTGCTCCTCGTGCGCAATGCTGCGCGAATTGGAAGAACCGATCTTTGATATAACGCACTTGCGCGTTTGTTCCACATGCATGACGAGTGCTGGAGCACGACAACAGCAACAACATCTCTCCGCGCTAAGCGCGACTGGTACGGGAGACGAGCCTGCGTCTTCGACGTCAAACGACACAGAGTCGTACATTCGTGGCCTACGTAGTCCGCAACACAATTCTTATGAGGACATGATTTTTCGCATGCGTGAATCACGTGATCGCGATAGGCGACAGAGTGATCTTGCTATGGAGGTTCTTGAAGCTGACACTGAGCTAAAGCCAGCCAACTCGTCGTTGAACATTGATGTCGGCTCGCAGTTGCTCACTCGGGACAAGGTGCATGCTCTTACTGATGTTGTGACCAATATTCGAGAGGTTCGTGACACAATCAACCTTACAATGTCTGAGGCAGCATATAAAGAACGTCGGGAAGATGATAGCGATGAAATTGAGGAGTTTAATGATATGTACAGCGAAATCACAAGTATTCAAGAGGCACTGGAAAATTCTGTGTCAAACTTTGACGCAGCACTGGCTAACGCAACGAATGCAGCACCTGCCATGTACTACTCTGGAACAAGTGACCGTAGTCAGGATTCACTACGTGGTGGTGGAAGTGAACGGGATATTGGAATCACAGCCAACCAATTTAATTCCGTTGCTCGTATCACCTTTGCAGCAGCTCGGGTCACAAGACAGGCTGGTCAAGCCTTTTTGTCGGTAGGAGAGCGCCAATACCTGCCACGTGAGGACCATAATGTTCCAGGTAAACAGGAGAAACACGGAGACAAGCAAGTGTTAGCAAGCTCGGTCTCAGTAGCAAGTTATCCAACAGTATACGATAGTGAGGACAGCTCGGTTGCTCAGAGTCCAGATCCATACTCTGCATCTAACTATGAGAAGATCATGGCAACATATTTACCAGAGCAAGATTATTCAGAGCATGAAGACGAAGACAACAGGCACTCCTTGTACAACTTTGCGGATTCTGTGCGTCGCGCCACAAAAATTCATGAGCTGGAAAAGAAGATTTTTGATTTGCAACGCAGCCTTGAGGAAGCACAGCGAAAGGTGTCAGTTATTGATAGTGATGAGCCGGAGCCAGAAGCACGCTCACGACGGAGGCTGGATGTTCTACGTGATCACTCAGCGCAGGTGGAAATTGAGAGCGTATTCGAGATTTTTGGGGAGCGAGGTAAACAACACGATCCTATCCTAGGCGACACAGTCTCACCAGTGTCTTCAGGCCCTCGGACGATGTCGTTACCTTCTGGACGCATGGAGTCGAGAGGACTAACGACAAAGGACCTTGTGTCAGAGCTGCGCGGTGTGATGGCTTCCAGTGAGACTCCAATTTGCGCTAGTAGTGGCTCACGAAGGTCTTTACTGAGATCGTCTACCGCTGCGTTGCCTTCAAATGTGGTTACGAATGCTTTGAGTCCTGTTCCTCCAAACCTGCCAGTATCCCCACCGCTTGCTACTGGAAAGAAGAAGAAGAAGAAGCTGTCTCAAAAAGACGACACTCGTCAGTCAGCAAATAAATCACTAATGCCCAAAGAGAGACCAGTCGGTGGTGACCTAAATATCAGCAAAGGTAGCGTCAAAGCGAATCACCGTGGCCAAGTACAAAAGATGAGACGACCTTCTGCAGCGCCTACCGAGGAATCTTACCTGCCGACTGTTCGCACGACGGGTGATACCAGATACGGTATCGACGGCAATTACGCTGCATTATCGTCTGATGAAGACAGCTACGACGATTCCTCCGACGATTCATCGCTGCTAACCAGTGATGATGCCCGCGAGCCTTATTTCAAGAAGTACCGTAGCCCCGATGCGTTCTTCGTCGAGGAGGACCTAGGCGCTTTGCTGAAAACTCGGAAAGCAGCGGAGGCCAATGCATCACTGCCGATCGATCCAGTCACATCTCCATCCTTCCCAATACCTCCTGCTCCCGCAATGGGGATAGATGAGCGTGACGAACTTCGAGAACTAATGGCAGGTCTTGTCCGTCCGCGTAGCTCTTCCGTACCGTTCCAATCAGGTCAAATGGGTGGTGCTTCATCTGGTGAATCATTGCACAATAAGCCGTCGTGGAGCGACGATGCTCCTGATCGCGTCCCAACAGCGCATCAAGTAGAGGAGGCTGTCTACGAAATTCACGCGTGTCTGGCAAGCTGTCGCTGTGAATGTCCATCTGATACGGAGCGTATACGCAAACTTACCTCCATTTTCAAAGTGCTCCGTTCACTTCATCGTGAGGGCGTACGCTCGAAATTTCGCACATTGCAGCACGACGATATTCGCTACGCAAAGATGCTCGAGACCAACCCTAGCATCATCAAGTTACTCAAGCTCGCTGGTTATGTGTCTCTACAACAAAAGCTCACCATGAAACGTGTGGATCAAGACTATCTCGCTTTATTTTTACGTGAGTTGGAACGGGAACTTTATCCATCCACCGATGCTTGAAAGAGCTACCTACACCTTGACACAGTTTTGTCATGCAGGTATCAATCAAACCAGCACCTAAGTATAAACCACATAACTAGACTATTTGTGACTTGCTAAGAAGAGAAGACGTTTGCAAATTTGTTATTATACTACAGCCATGAGGGTTCTTCTAGAGCTTTACCACACACGAGACAAAATCTAGTACGCCCTGTCAAGGCAAAGAAATGACGACTTCGTAGACGACGATGCGTTGGAAAATTAAGGCGTCTATTGCTTGCCATGATTGGCGCCCGTGCAAAGATTGCTCAGAAATTGTATCGGTGGATGGACTCGAGGTGGCGTACAGACCGCGGACTCTTTGGACGTGTATCGTCCAAACGGCCGGATCTACAGGCATAGATCATCAGCACAAGACTCAGTAGCGCTTTGAATGCTGCTAAACAGAGAAAAAACGCTACTGTAACTAAGACACCGCTAGGTGACGTAAATACAACCGGGGCTTCTACTAAAGCCTTTGACAGCATACGCAGCACGACACACGCCAAAGGCAACGACATGAGACCCAACCGCTTGGACACGTGGTGCGTGTGATCTAGAATCGTATCCTCGCTCTTCCAGCCCGTGAGGTCACGACAAAGAATCGTGATAAACTTGGAGTACATCGTGGGCGGAATCTGGTTGAACTTGGTGATGAAAGCATGCTTGATCCAGTCAATCAGCATCTCCGCCACCCAAACCATGGTCTACATGACGTCAAAATGTGAGTTAAAAGCATACCAAGTGGATAAAAGATAGCAGACCTGAACATTTCCTACCGTTCCCCACGCGACATCTGCTGTAGATGACTGGAGTAGGATGAGCCCAATAATCGTGAGGAGTTTAAATCGTTCGACGATATCGCTACAGCTGATCTGAAAAAGATTCTGTTCTTCAAATTTCTTGAACACGGAACTCTTAAGCTCCGCAAAATTGTTACTAATGAGCAGCGTAAGCAGTGATGTGTTGCTTGAATTCACTGCAACGTTCAAGGTTACGACCTGCGCGAACAACAGCATCGAATGAAGGACCACATAGACGATTGCTACTGCAAAGTCCAGGAACATACGCGTAACCCGACGCGGATGATATTTAGCCGTGTAATACAGTGAGTCCAGTACATCCTGACCAAACGATGAAAAGAGGCGATCAAAGATCTCAATCATTGTAAACAGCACATAGAGCTTGATCATTGCCTGGCCGCGAATTGCGTGGTAGACTCTTGACATGTCAACGTGTCCCAATACCGTAGTTCCCACGGCCATAATGAGAGCCACCATTAAATCATAAAAGTGCGTTCGTCGAAACACCCGTGCGTGAAAACTCGATGTTACTGCACATCCACAGGCAAATAAAATCCTTAGAGGCATGTACGTGAATACATAGAGAAAGCTATCTAGCGCCAATAACACTCCAAATAGAAACAACTTCTCGGTATTTAACGGCACGACAAAAAAGTTTTGCACACGTTCCAAGTGGACTCCATCACCCTGTTGAATATCATGAACACCAAAGATTTCTTTGTAAAAGAAGTCCGAGAGTCGGAATGAATGAGGTGCTGGTGGTTTGACTGAAAGACCAATCGTAGCTCCAGGCTTTAGCAAAGGTGTCTGACTCGTCTTGGAATCTGTAGCTGTTTCTCTGTCTTCTAATGGACATGGAACACTCCTAGATCGCAATCCAACAGGTGATGCAATAGACGGAGATGACGATGAAGATGTGGCCGAGACTTCCGTCTGAGAATGAACATTTGACTGAAAGTGTCCATTTTGCATCACCGATAACTTGACACCTGTTGCATCGATTAATGCATCCATAGTAGCACCATTTGAAGCTATTAATGAGCTTGTAGACGGTCTAAAAGACTCGTGAATTGACGTTTTTCGCTTCCTGGAGCTGCTCGAAATGACACCGCGTTTCTGTGTTTTACGACGAAGTATTTGCTTTTTATGGTAAAGACTGGCAGAAATATCAAGATAAGACATTTTTCTAGTACTTCCATGAGTAGACAACGCTGGGAGTGAACGAGGAGCGGTCACAGACGATGGCGAAGATGCTGGTGGCGTCATGAGACGTTGGGGTCTTAAATAATTGGGAATTTCGAATGACTTAATCATACAATTAATTATTAAGTGAGTAATAAAATTAATTGATGCAAGAATAATTAGTATCAAATGATGAATTGGGTAGGTAACTCACCCATATTTGAAGATACGTTCGTATTTGAAAAAGTACTGATTGATACCGGTAGTAGAAAAAAAACAATACTTTGGCCTGTCACCTAAAACGACGTCAAAAGACCTTTTTGACCGTATTTAAGCGTATGTATATAGGAACAGAGGATTCTTCCTGTAGCTTAATGGCTACCATTTTTTTGGCGAGATATCTAATAGAGATTCATTGAACTACTTGAAATAGTCATCTTGCCATCTGATGGTGTTGTGTGGCATACATTTGAGCCGATCGTTTGATCTTCACCTCTAAATCTACTCGTTAACCACTCTCTTTAAGCATTCATTCTAGTCCATATCACATTGGCGAGCTGATTGCAACGTGAATAATGAAGTTGTCATCTGATATCAAGTTGAACATCATTTCTTGCGACTACATCGACGTCTTTCTCTCAACAAACTAAGTGTAGCAAGTCAGATCGAGCGAGGTGAAGCATTTGTATTGTCCATGATACAACGCCATGGAACTTCTGACACTTTTATATATGGCATGAAAGTCCGTATTGCAAATCAAAACCGTTGCTTGCGAGGTCAGTTTGACTCGCTGTCCCCGACACTGGCTCACGCCCATAACGTCAATTAGTTTTATCGCAAAATCTTATATATTTGTATATCAAATAAATGCAAAATCCAAAAATAGCACAAAACGTACTGCTTATCTTTATATCCTTTGTCATTGATTCATATAGAGTATTGTCGTATTCATGTAGTGACTGTACTGCCTGCACGCCCCGTCTCCAGACACTCGGGCGAGACTGTCCAATACGACCAGTACACGCTTCCCCGATCAATCGTTGGCACTGTTGTTGTGCAGTTCATCAAAAACGCAATGACTTATTCACACCCGACATGGTGACCAATTGATATCCTTTTCCACCACTTTCTAAAGACAGACCACCATGTTTTTCTGTACAACGTACATTTCGACTCTTCAGTCGAAACGGTCCACCGACAGCACCACAATTTCTGAATTGAATCAAGTACAACGTCCTTGCGGATATACGTCAGACTTCTTGTAGCAATGAAATGAAGCATTTCGCTACAGAAACCGGCAATTCAAATCTCATTGGGATTGTCAATCCTCGGTGGGCAGGCAGAAGAGGAGAGGTATTAAGAACAAATCGTCTAGAATTAGCTGTACGCAACTGTGGATAATGCAGAAGTCGACGTCAGTCCAGATGGCTCGAAACAATGCATCGAATGCCTTTCAAAAACACTCGGTATCATTCACAGCTTTCGCGTTGTAGTAGCAGGTGAAGGAATCATTTGCCGTCGATCTTAGTGCTTAGTCAAGGCATATTGAACTCACAAACATGTAAGAAACAAGAGCATGTCAGACTAACAGCCAGTGTGACTGACCGTTGCCAATCGAGGTGGTAGAGCATGCAAGGTCTCTTGTCATGTACGTCAGAGTACTCGAGACGCGCCTCGTATATCGACGAGCTTATGTGATCTTCCCAGCAGCTTTCTTGATTTAACTTGACAACCAAAACACACACACTGTTTCACAACACAAGTGCGACTACAGACGCAAAGTCTTTCATGCTTTCATGTCTGCAACGATCGACTTCACTATTTTCTACATGCCTGTCAATTATTTCTCCAGTGCATTGGCAACTGTTAGTCCTCTCATTTGTAGAGTCATCCGAGCATGTGTACGCAGCGTAATGCATTCGTCATCATGATTTAATGGTGTGTTCATTCACTTGCCATCTTGAAAGCGTACCCTGGCACTTGCTACAAACTTGACGCTTTCATCACCGCCGCAGCGCTTCATGTAGCTTGATAAACAACTAGAAAGGGGGAAAGTTGAGTCGCCTTTTTGATGCTCATTTCTGCCGTCCGATTAAACAACGTCTCACCTTCGCCCGTGCTTGTCCGTTCCTGTCTTCCTCCCGAGACACGAGTCGAGCGCGTGCTATGCACATTTGCTGCGCTTGTAATGGCAATCGCGATCGTCTTAATGCGACCTAAGCACCGCTGTCGTCGATCCGAAGAAAAGACCCACAGAGGAGAGGCAGGAATACCATCCATTTAACATTCTGCACTCACAGTAAGAAGAGACGAACGCATAGTGATTTCCGTTCGGTCGGAGGCCGAGTTCAATCAATTGACCATGGGTGGCAGCAAACAATTTGTGATGAATCCGTTCCCGTCAATGGAACTATCGTTGGGCGACAAGAAGCAGCTACGAAAGACCGCAAACGGCTTTCTTATTGAATCCCTTCAATCGTACGAGACATATCTCAAGGACGATGAACGGAAAGTAGACGAGCGTCGCTGGAAGCCGCTCAAGACGAAAGAAAATCTGCGCTTGTTTATTGAGAGGGAGGTGCGCACAACGACCGACGGCAACTTCTCCATGATAAACGAGGCATCGGAGCAGGCTGGCACACCAGTGATATTGTGCGCTGGCACAATGCAGGGCAATCTTGAGGACGTTGTATTTGGTACAGTAAGCTCGACTTCGGAGGACATGTGCTTTAACGCTACTTACATTGACGACCTCACGGGAGCATCAGTTCTTGCCAGAGTTGTGGAACCTACAGTTGAGGAACCGTTGCAGACGCTTGCACTTAAGTGGATGGAGGTAAACCTGCCCTTGCACTCAAACAAACGCGACTTCGTGTTCATTGAGGCCACGGGTCTCACGCAACTTGCCAATGGGGAGCGTGTGGGATACCGGTTAATGTATTCGATCGGCTTCCCGCAGACGCCGGAGCTTCCACACCGCGTGCGCGCCAGTGTCAATGTCTTTTTTCTCTACCGTCAAGATCACAACCAGTGCGTTGAGTTGTTTGCGTCTGGCGTCGTGGCCAACGGTTCAACTGTCGAGTCATTCCTGGTCTCAGCCTGGGCCATGAAAGTGTTCACGGCACTTAAATTTGCTCACTGCGGCGAGATGAAGAAGCTTGCATGGCTGATGCAACGCCGCTACGCTTTGGACAAGCAGCGGGGTGCCCCTCTTGAAGAAGGCGAGTGCTCAAACTGTGGCACTCCGATTAGCTCTAAAATCTTCGGCAAGTTTGGACGATCTCGCGACTCGTGCAAACTCTGCCATCAGCTTGTGTGCGGTACTTGTCGCGTGAAAAAGCGGCTGCACTTTGTTACACTGGAGATGACGTTTGAGGAGCGGACGACGTCGTTTTGTCCTTCCTGTATCAAGGAGGCCTTTGACCTTAACACAGAAGAGGCTGCTCGAGCTCAGATTGCAAGTATCAACTCGCAGTACGCCTTCCATTCAGGTGCAGACTATTCGTTCGCAAGCTCCTCTGACTTGGAGCGCACCGTATAGACCCACGCCACTTACAAGACAAGTCTCTCCATTATTAATCTGTCTGTCAAAGACGTCGAAGTAGTGTCGTCATGGTACGTGTGAGTAACAAATGCAATGCGAAGTACTAAAGGTCGAAATAATCGTTGTGAAAGTCAAGTCACTTTCATATTGTCCAAAATTTCAATGCTATTCTAACAAACTCCATATTGTGAATCAAGGATATCATGAAGGCGTCCCGTTGGGTTGATACGAGGTAGAAGCACTTGGCTTTGGCTGTCTTCTGACACATGGCCAAATTGATAGCTACTACGCTCGCAAAGGTGCATGAAGTGTCATCGATAGTGATCGAGATCTGCATTTTGAATGGGTCATACAAGCCGCGGGTGTGGCACGGGTAAACTGTCGACTACTGTGTTACGAGCGAACATGTCGTCCTGAGCTGCATCTAGGAAAAAGGTCTTGATGGAAATGTACGTCAAGCGAGCCTACTCGGATTCCAACGAATAGCCATGCAGCGATGAGCGGTATACGTACATCGTCCACCTTCAGGTCGGCTGCTTCCACCACACCTTGAACATGACGTGGCGTCCAAATGCGTGCAGGTGTGTAGGCACAAAAGTATATGTGATATCCTTTGTGTAAGTATGATTGATCGAAATGGATGGAGCAAGGCTTTCAAAAGAAAGCCATGGTTTTCACGCCTACTTTGTGTAAGTTCCGATACAAACCACGGCAAAAGACAACACTGTCATTGCGCTGGACTCATTCAGCAGCTAGCGGCCATTGTTTGCCACTCAGCAGAGCATGATATGTAAAAGTAGTCGTACGAAGCAGCTTAAAAGATACCCCACTTCTCTCAATTGCACCTCATGTTTTTCGTACAATCTGACAGTGCATTTGATTGTAGAAACGAAGTATCAGCAGCCAAGGGTAGCACATGGCGTCCATTCTACTTTCTAGCAGCGCAGAAAGTAGATTGGACGCCATGTGCTACTCCTTTTGGATGGTGCATGAGCAAAGAAGTTCACTAGAATGCGTATCCCACTTCAATACGATCGAGTGTCACTTCGAGTATCCCACTCGTAGCGTTTCGTCTGCTGTAATGAACGATATTGACAGGACAATGGAGTTTTTTTGACCTTGCGATGTCCTGCAACGATTTGAATACAGACCACCATGCAAGTCCCTGTCATGCATAGCAGTGGCATTGGACAAGTTGTTTGGAGTCACGAATCTCATCGTCTCGATTAGTCGCGGTATCGTTAGCTGATCAGCTTTTGCAGTAGCCAGGCTGGATATACTGTTGCGTCGTGGAGATCTGCTGCTGCGTCTTTACAAGTGTGTTGTTGCCCACTCCCGCCTGCTGCTTTGGCATGAGAAGGTTCTTTAATCAACTTTATCTCGTAATTGGCTTTTACATGACCACTTACTCGAGCGTGGAACATGTCAGGCCGAGTGGGTATCGCGTATATTTGATGGCAAAGACTGCGAGTCTACTCGTCGCACCAACACAAATCACCTGAAAACTTGCTCGCGCCTTCGTTCAGCATCATGTGAAGACTTGGCGCGGTCTCGACAGTAGAACGTTGGAAGCTCAGATTTTACACCCTGTCGACATGTGTATCTTCTAGCAGAAGTGCAGTATTTCTTGAACGTTCACGGTCAGCAACAATCGATTTGAGTAGGCAACTTCGATTACAATATTGACAGTGGGCTACAAGGAAGCTCTATGGATGACGCAATGTATGGAGCCCCACGGTCTCTTCAATGCGAGTCACACATGAGATCAATGGCTTGGATACGTGCTGGCAACAATCGATAATCTGTTGGCAACGGACCTCATCTATACACTTGATGTCGAGTGGTCGATAGATACCGGTCTCTGATGCTTGTTGCTCCATTGCTACATACGGTAGCTTTGCGTCTTTCAAGGCGACGGGCTATTCAAAACTTCGTACTGGCGAGAAGCTTGACTACCACCTTATTCTCTCGATTCCTTTCCTAGACGCCCAAGGTTGGCAACAACATGTGGGGACAAGTGTTCACTTGCGGCTAGTACAAACAGTGCAGGAACAAAACCGTGCCCGAACGTTGCTGGATTACGGGGAACGTGTCGCTCGATTTCACGCGGTCAAGTTAGTATCGGTTTAGACTGATCGTAGCCATGAAGTGGTTTACTGTGCTCAATGAAAGAAGCTCACGTGGCTATAGGACTATGCGATGCACACGATGATGCAAGGAAAAGCCAAGTACATTTGCTGTGTTCAAGTATTTGGCATTTTTGGTTCAGTCATGGGGCTATATATCTCTGCAAACGCGCCCTGTGCTCGTCAAGAACAAGAAACGATTGAGATAAGGCTTGCGGCATCTCAATCGTATGTTCCAGGTAAAGCAGGACAAAGAAGCTTACATGTTGTCGAGCATCGCGAAAATGAAGAAATGGAGGCTTGTGGCGCTGACATTACCCAACAACTCAAGGTCAGCGCCCGGTTGGGACCGTTGAGATAATTAAAGATGGCTAGATTCAAAGCGCTACCTCAATCTGATGCCCAGGTTGTCTAGACTGCTGGCTAACGCAACTAAGTGCCCAAGGTCGTACTTGATTGCTGCTTTGGCATGAAAAGTGATGCTCAAAACGTTTGTGGTGCAACTTTCGTGCGTGTGGTTATCTCCATTGCAGTTGTACATGAGGGTGTTGTAATGATAGCGAAGTTGTTGGTATCGCACCGGAGCGTCACTCGTGCCAGCTTTCGTGCAACGTACTACGCTGGTCCAGACTATCCGTATTACCTGGAACCTGTACACAGTTGGAGCAATCTTTGTTCAAAGCTGTACATTGCACCCGACATACCGGCAATGATTGTTTCAATCCCCGCTCTAAGAAGTGAGGGTTCCAACTCAAGCTATGCGTTACTGCGATTCGTTTTGTGCATTAGAAATTGTTCACCTGGTCTAAGTTTGGCCCATCTGTACTTCATTCGTCGGATGAACACGTGGCGGAGAAGTTGCTACTCTGGCGAAAGTCACGAAGCCTCTCGGGAGCTAATGTCTGATCCCTCGCAACTCTTAAGGCGCTGACGCTGAGCGCTTCCTTGATGCAAACCGGGCAGAACGTGACCTTGCGCTTGTTATAGTTAAGATCGGGCTCCACGAACGTCACTAGCTTGCGAACACGACACGAGCGACACACGGCGTTGAAGCAAAGTTTGCACGATCCACGAGTAGTGCTCAGTTTGCCCATACGACTATGGCTTACTGGCGACGAACACATTACACAATTGTCGTCATTGCGCTTGGTGCCCATCTGCTTCTTCTGTGCGTTACGGTGTTGCATGATCCACGCTAATTTCTTCATCTCGCCGCAGTGGGCGTATTCTGTGCTCGCCAGAAGCATCAAACTCATTGGGTACAACAGCAGCGACTTCAAGACGGGACCTCCCGGGTCACACACACCGGTTGCGTACATTTCAACAGACAAGTCCCAATCCTGACGGAAGAAAGCACAAAAGTGAATATTGCCACGAACACGGCCCGGTAGTTCCGGTGCTTGTGGCAGACCAATTGAATGCTGGATGTGATAACCAACGCGTTCCCTGTCTCTGGTCTGCAATAGGCCTGTGGCCTCCATGTATACAAAATCGCGGTTTTTCACCAAATTCGTCGAGCTCAGCGGCAGATCTAGCTGCATCCACTTGATTACCAAGGACTGTAGCGGATCTTCAGGCGTCGGCTTCACAACTTGTGACAACAGTGAAGCACTGCTGATGTTGTCGTCAATGTACGATGCTTTCAAACGCATAAGCTCGAGAGTTGGACTAACTATTCCAAACATCACATCCTCAAGTTTGCCAGGGACAGAGCCCTCGCACAGAACGACTGGCAAATTCGACGCTTTGTTTTCGCTTTTGTTCGCAGAATGACGTTTGTTCGTGGTATCTCGATCGGAATACAACCGGACATCTTGTGTCTTGACAAGCTTCCAACGGTTCGTGTCAACTTTACAGGTTTTGCTAGACGTATACTTTTTATAGTTTGGAAGGTGTTCATCGATAAAAGTTGTGACAAGAGCCTGGAGTTCGGCTTTCTCGGCTACAGACGGCTCTAAATTCGGAAAAAGATTCGGGATGAAGCGGTCTTTTGCCATTGTCTTGAGCTCTGAGTAGCAAAAGAGATAATAGACTGGACGGTGAGCGAGCAATGTAGTCGTTGAGCGGTGTGGCCAGGCAATTTGACGCCACAGATTTAGCTAATCCAATGCGCACTGAATTACCAACGGATTGGCGATATGCTTATTCACGGCGCTGGACAGGACTCAAACACATTGCTCTCACAAAAGGAGGTCGGTCGGTCACAGATCGTTATTGCAATTCTATATCAACACGGAACCCTACATTCCCGGTTCCACTGTCAATGATATTGCTGCATACAAGACGTGATCAAGACGCGTTAGCTTGTGTTAGACACTGATCCAGCGTTTCAGTGCGTGCTGATCAGCGTCCTGGCTTCAGAGGGTCAGGGGTGTGCAGCGAAAAAAGCTCCGGAGCTGTTCTCAGGATTGGAAAATGTCAATTCTCTGTTGTCGGGTTAGCGAGCGAGCGAGAGTTACTCTCAGCCTGAACAAGTCGACCGTAAAAAGTCAAGTGTCACGACCAAGTGACATGTGCCTATCGCACGTCATGTTTGGTGTATCCGTTTCTCTGGAATGTAGTGCATTGTGGCATTGTTATTGTTTTCTATTGAAGCAACAGTGAATGCCATGAAATGGTTTCAGGTGGGTGATCCCGTCATGAATAGCTATGAGTTTATAAAATCAGAGCTTTGGTTTCAGGTCAAAAGGGATCATCTAAAACTCGCACCATTGGTGCTTTGACAAGCGCACAGCTCATTCTTAGGACCAACTCGACGCTGATAAAACACATTCATCGATCTATTTGTAATTCGTGTATCATTGATAACGGAACTCTTCCGATGCTAAAGGATCAGTTGTTACTAATACATCTGATTGACACAATGTTCAGAGGTAGATTTTTTGACGCGTGCTGAAGATCTAATTCGAACGTCGTACAGTCTTCGTAAAGACTCGACATATTGGACGTGAAGTGAACCTAAAGCTACAAATAGGTAGAAGGTCTTCCATCTTTTGCATTACAAGTCTACTGCGGTATATCACGCGTCAAACAGGTCAGGAGACCATAAGCCAGCCAACCAATGATGTTCCTCCCACTCACAAATCTCAGGCAGCAAGCGTCACTCAGTGTAATTTTAATCGAGCGTTCAGTCTGTCATTATCGCAGTAAGTGCTATCCCTTATATGCAGGCTAATGTTCATATCGTGGACGATAAATAAGCGGTTTTGCTTGATCCGCCATTTGAATCGTCTTATTGTGACGATAGACACTGAAAAATATGTGGCATTTCGTTTCTCCTCAAGATCTAGAATGACATTAGTATGTGGTGGCAAGACTGACCGTGTAAATTATGCTAATCCTATGGCTTAAGTTCTATGAGTGACGAGAATCATTTGCAATGGCTTTAGCCTCAATTTTCAAGATGATAACGAAGGATTTGATGATAATAACATTGGCATCAAGTGTGTGGTGGTAATGTGTGTAGGATACATGTAATCGTGTGCCAAACCTAAAGCTCTTATTTTTCGACTATTATGCGACTGTTTACATGTTATAAATGACTTTCGTGCGTAATCATTAACCAATTCTCCAAGACTGTTTTGGTAGTTACATCATGAATTTTTGTATGAAGAATAATATACAGACACAAAACCTATCTGTCGCAATAATACTGATGTACCCTCATGTAGCAACCTTTTTGTGCGAATGTCTCCGTTGACAACGTCGTATCATACCCAAAAGGATAGTAAATAAAACGTCTATTGTAGACAAGCTCAAATGCATTAAGCATCTAACGATAATTGGGTTGTTTCTGATATTTATCTAGCATTGCAGTCGCTCTACCGCCATTGTTTACAATCGCATCTTTAGCCACAGCATTTTATCGTGAGCTACGATCACGTGCGGGGACATTGCATAGCTGATTCAACATGACGAACCTTATGTGGTTAACACAGTTGTTCATGACAACACACTAAAGTAGGTAAAACTACGAGTCCATCCTAATCTCTTTTCGAATACTCGTCTCTGTTGCTTGTCTGATTAATGTAACGCACATCAACTTGAAGACACGAGCGTAAAACGTCATATCTTTTCTCTCTCTCTCACTCGCTTCCTACCCTCTTAAATCATGTCTTCGTTGTCATTCAAGGGTCCATATGTTGCAAACAACCTAATTAATAGTTGTATGTGTCCACCTACTAGTGAACTACATATTGATATCATTTGTCCATCAACTGGAGAAAAGCTTGGTAAATGTGCATTATCTACTGCTGAAGATGTAAATCTGGCGGTCGCAAAGGGTCAAGAAGCTTTTCAACAATGGCGACAGACCACGATCAAGACCCGAGCGGCTCTAATGTTTGAACTGCATAAACTTATGCTGGAATTTCAAGGTACTGTTTGTTTTTGATATGCATAATGACAGTGTATTACGTTTTACAGGATATATGAAAGTAAGAAAACTGTGGGGTTGTACCGGTATTACTGCAGATCAACTAGCAACTATTGTGGTACAAGAAAATGGCAAGAATCAAACCGAGGCACTTGCTAGTGTTCGAAAAGCCATTGAATCGGTAGAATATGCTTGCAGTTTACCTCAATTGGTTCAAGGACGTACTTTACAAGTTTCACGTGGTATTACATGCCATGAAGTGCGTGATCCACTTGGTGTTGTGGCCTGTATTACGCCCTTTAATTTTCCTATAATGGTACCAATGTGGACAATTGCTATTGCGTTAACAATGGGTAATTGTGTCATTGTAAAACCGTCAGAGAAGGTGAGGAAGAAGAGAAGCATTGCACAATTCAGCAATTGCTGTTGATATGGTTCCAATCGTATGTTTTAACTGTAGACACCATTGGCGATAAGACGTGTGGCGGAGCTTTCGATAAATGCAGGGTTTCCACCTGGAGTATTTCAGGTGCGTCAATGTTAGATTTGATGATGATGATTGTATAGGTGGTGTGTAATGTTTTGGAGACGAATATGTGTTTTCCTCACGGCCAGATTATCAACGGAACAGCGGATCCAGTGAACAGCTTGTGTGACCATCCTGGTATTGCCGCTGTTACGTTTGTTGGTTCAAGTCGTGTAGCGCAGCTCGTTTCTCGTCGTTGCCGAGCACTTGACAAGCGTGTGCTTGCACTAGGTGGAGCGAAGAATCACTTGGTGGCACTACCAGATGCGGACATTGAAGTCGCGTCCAGGGACATTGTCGCATCGTATGCAGGCTGTGCTGGACAGCGTTGCATGGCAGCGTCAGTTTTATTGCTCGTGGGAGACTGCTCGGCACTTCTTGATAGGATCGTCGAAAAGTCCAAGGAGCTAACCCGTGGGACGAAAGCTGGTGAGGTTGGCGCTCTCATTGATGATATGTCGAAGACACGTGTGCTGTCGTACATCAATGATGCGGAGGCTGCCGGTGTAAAGATACTAGTGGACGGTCGATCGTGGTCGAACGTGTCTGAAGGATTTTGGGTGGGTCCAACTGTGCTACTACATACGAATGCAAAGGACCCTGCAATGACCGACGAGATTTTTGGTCCCGTGCTTTCTGTACATCGTGTGAGCTCTTTCGACGAGGCGCTTGCGATCGAGAATAGTAATGAATACGGGAATGCCGCGGCCGTCTATACGTCGAATGGAGCTTATGCTGAATATTTCCAGACACGTTTCCGTGCTGGAATGATTGGGATCAACATTGGGATTCCCGTGCCGCGCGAGCCCTTTAGTTTTGGTGGCATGTACGGCACAAAGAGCAAGTACGGTGACATGGACATCACGGGTGACGGTTGCGTGGAATTTTTTTCTACGAGACGCAAGATCACTTCCAAGTGGACCACAGACATTGACACGAGTGACGCTGCCAACTTTAGCTGTCAGCTATAACTCTAGAGGATGCAGTACTATTAAGTAGCTTTAGTATGAAAGCCATTGACACGGTGTTTTTGCGGCAACTGATTGCTGATATCGAATAAACAGAACGGTCTTGATTCACTTTGAAGAAAATGATGATTCGGTATGCGACATTTACTGTAAACTTTGTTGCATGACTACATAATGACGGCGTCGTTATCGACTGTAGCTATCGAAGCAAGAGGACAAATAGTCATATGAAGTTACGTAGTTTTGCCCTAATGAAATGTACCCATGTTGTTTTAAATGCTTTCGGTTTGGGAGCAACAAGCTTCAGCTACCGACTGTAGGGGTGTAAAATTATATAGCTATGATAAAAGGTATTGTATATAACAGGTATTACTTATCACCCTAGGGCCAAGAACTGTACACCAGAATCTAAAAGTATAAAGTCCAACAGGTTTATTTACTCTCAGATTTTATAATCTCCTTTGCAACGAATGTCATCCAATTGCGTGTCACGAAGGACATCATGAAGTACATAATCCATGCAGCTTATCTCCATTCTTTTATAATGACGTCGCATCACTAGTTGTACGCACTCAAAACTCGTAAGACTTTATTATCCATGGCGGAGGCTGGGGACCTCCTTGTGCACGTTCGTCAACGTCTCGACGCGCTTTCCTACACTAATCACTCTCAATATCTTCTTAGTCTATTACAGTCCTCATCCTTTGTACCATCCGTTTCAACATCTCGTGTCTCGTTCCCACCTCGTTGTCAGTCTCCTGCTGTACATATTACAAGTACAAATCGATCCCATCCGTCATGGTTGAGATATATGGGTCTTACAGCTTTTTACATGCGTCTTGTCTTGTTATTAGGTATGGGATGGTTCCTTGCAATGATTAGTATTTTTACATTTTTGTACGCACTACCAGTCGTACAAGATGACAACAAGGAGACGAATATTGTACGCACAAGTACTGCCCAAGCTATTGTACTCTTAGGACTGTATTTTTTAGGTGGTGCAATTGGGTCTTTTGGGTTTGGATTATGTGCCGATTATTTTGGTCGAAAACCGGTATTACTGATTGCATTAAGTTTATGGGTCGTCATAAGTTCTCTAAATGCTGGTGCATGGAATTATACGTCCTTTGTCATTTTACGACTCATCTCGGGCATGTGCATTAGTGGTCAATTGGCTCTATTAGCAACATTATCATTGGAATATACACCTACAAGAACAAGAGGAAAAATTACCATCCTGACAATCTCAATGGCTGGACTTGGCGTTTTTTGTGGCATTGGCTATGGACAACTGTCAATTGTACATTTAGGCACAAAAGGACTTGGATGGAGATTAACATACGGTGTCTTGAGTGCCATTGTGCTCTCATTTGTCGCAATGCTTTCAATGATCTTAGAAGAATCACCAAAATATCTAGCAAGTGTTGGACGGACCAAAGAAGCATTTGTGATTGTTGAAAAAATGGAAACAGCTCATGGAATTAATCGGCGTGCAAGAGTGACAGTTCCTACAAGTTTATATGAACCACCATCACGACGACCACGAGTACGATATGAACGATATTTAAATCGTAACTCCGAGTCGGAGATGGAGCTGGAAATGGGTGGTGGTCATCTAAGTGAATACGAAGACGAAGGAGGAGGAGGGGGGACGAGAAGAAGCAGCAGAAGGGTATGGAGAAATACCGAGACAATCGTATAATGATGCAGGGCCAGGAGCAGCAAAAGCACGCAGTCAAAGTCAACGTGCATCAAGAAGAAGATTACAAGGTCGACGTCAATTTCGTGTTGCATTGTGCACACCAAACGCTGGAAATCAAGAAACGCGTTCAGATGCACTCACTCCTAGTCCGAATGCTACCTTTTGTGGAGCACTTACCCGTCGTGTAGTCACGCTTTTTTCAGGAGCACTTGCTGTGCGAACTGTGGTAATTTGGTTTTATTGGTTTGCACAGCTCACGGTCGTAGGTGCAGCTATCGTGACGGTCTTCGTGATGGCTGGAACTTCTATGAAAATCAACCACATTGGAACAACATTTCCCATTGGAGATCAGCTCTATTGGTCTGCTATGGCATTTCTAGGTTTGTTGCTTGCTGCAATGATGGTAGAAAACAAATCTATAGGTCGTCGTGGTACATTAGCGCTGTTTGTTTTTTGCGGAGGTGTCGTTATGGTAGTGTCAGCCTTGCTGTTGGAGGAGGATGGAGGCTGGATAGGTCTATGCCTGGCATTGGGAGCAATGGTGCTGACGACCGGCGGAACTCTTGGTGCGCTAATTTCGTTCAGTGGGGAGCAATTTCCACTTCTCACTCGAGCACTTGGCCTTTCATGTGCTTTAGCATGGGGTCACCTTGGAATGTTTACAGGGCTTTATCTTGTGCTTCACAGTGTAATGGATGGTGAAGCTTGGTCATGGTACGATGAGCGTGTAATGCTAGCTGTATGTGGTGGCGTATCAATTGTGCTGCTTCCTCTTATTTTACTGATGGGACCGGAAACACGCGGGCGAGATATTGATGCTTCATGGTTTGAAAACAGTGAGGCCCTACACGCTCTTGCAGGCGGTGTGCTCTCAGTGACGCCTGATGGTCGGTCGGAACAATCTACGCTAAGATGTCGCGGCCCGGGCAACGACAGTAGTAACCGAGGCAACAAAGATGTGGAGAAACGTGGTGAAATCTCAGGTGATAATGATGAGAAGCTACCGTACTCTCCGATAGGTCCGGGCTCGATAAACGGCATGGCGATGGTTTCTTCAGCGATTTATGCTCCGGCTTTTGCAGCGCCGACGGCGCATGCTCTTGCAGATCGTGAGTCATCTTTGCGCTCTTCGTCGCCGTCGTCAAACTTATGGCAAGCGCATTCCGTGCATCATCTTGGCTGTAAAACAAGCTCTGCAGCACAAGCTGTCACCAGCATGTCAGATAAAAAGCAAGTAGCGTGTTGCTCGTCCAATGGCAAACTGCGTGTGCCTAATAGCGGTGATTCGAGACAGATGAAAGGCAGAAGTTTGAACATCGAAGGCCAACGCGATACCCGTCTTCCTGTGGACGATCTTGATCAGCTTGACAGTATGGTCGTTGAGCACGAGTACCGCCATCCGCGGCGGGAGACTGTGGCGGAGCCTGTGCTTCTGGAATGGCGGCATTCTTTTTCAAGTTCACGGTCAGGATCTGAGCAGGATCTAAGCAGCAGCAAGGTAGACATACAGGAGCATGGTCCTTTTGAAGACAAGGCTGCATCTGTAAGTTCTACTGAATTGGGGCGCTACACTATCGACCTCGACATGTTTGATACATTCACATACATTTCCACGCCGGTGCTAGGCGGTGACAACTACTCAGACCACGAGCATCGTAAACTGAGCAATCTTTCCTGCGTCGGTAGCAGCTGATCTCTCTGCGGGAGAGACAGCGTGCCTGGCATATATATGTATGAGTTTCTTCTGAGATGTAAGGAATGCCACTAAGTCACGATGACCATGGATACGTTTGTTACGTGTCGATCCAGCGTCGCTGTCAAGGGCAAGGTTCCAGCTACCTACAACTCTTCCAAGGTCCATCTGTTAGGATGCAACCAAAAGAGAAAGTGTCAAGCTGTTGAGCCGTTTGGGTTTTGTTTCCCGTTGTGATGTCAACTTAATTGTTAAATGCGTCACCGGCAGTCATGCATCTCTAGTGGTCGACTGCATGATTGCTGTTTGCAGCTTGTACTTTTGGAATGAACCTTCGTTGATGAAGGCGGTATTTGTCACGTTGCTGAGCATTTACAACGCTACTGTCATCGATATTCCAGTTGAGCAACAAACTAGTCGTACGTCATACTCTGTACTGAAGCTCTCGTTGTTTATAAGTCTGTACCAACGCTTTGGTGATTCGTACATCTTTGGCTTGTCCAGCTAAAGCTCGAGCTGTAACAGATATACTTCAAAATTGCGCCTCAGGTCAAACTCGCCATCAATAATCGTTTCGTATGCAAACGTCGGCTACTACAGAGCCTACCATACTACAGCATGTGCACAGCGCAAACAAGTAGCGGTCAGGAAGTGGAGTATATTGCGTTGCATTAACGCTACAAACAGCAGACTTATCTTACTAAATCTAGTGGATGCTCGTCGCTTTTCCATCTTTTCTGCTGGTACAGCCACGTCCAACGACAACATTCTCGAATTGAATTACCCAGCACTATTGTAACGAGTACCATCAAGATCACCATGCAAGGAGGAGACTCCACTGATGCTGACAAACGGTATACAAATACATGACCTTGTCTCGCAGAGCTTGAAATGTGTCAGACAATGTCGTTGATGGACACGACCCGCACGCTCTATCAGATAGACGTGGTCACCTTGATCTGACGTACAGCCTCGGCAAACTCAGCGATGGGGTGCACAATCCACATATCTGATGCATGTTTGTCCCCCGTCTTACGATCCTCAAGTTGTTTTTTGAGTGAACTCTCGTAAAACGCCAAGTGGCCACCAGACTTGGTCGTGCATAGAATGACATTTGGATTCGCTTTGACTTGGTCATCCGTCGGCAAAGCCAAGTTAACGCTTATAGGGTCGTCCTCAGCATTGATACAGAGCAATGGTACACAAACGCCACCAAGTTTTTTCACAGATCCTGCATCGGTATAATAGTCATCCACCGTGTCATAATGAAAGACATGTTTCGTGAGGTTCTCATCAAAGTCACGGACAGTGCGTGTGGCCTGAAGAGCCTTTAAATCCACACCCGGAAAATGTTCAAACTGCTTTGCTGCATTAGACTGCACAATAAAAATGAACACATCACAAGACAAGACAAGACCAAGAGTGTGAATCATCATCAACCCAAACACTATGACCACAATGAACACTATCACACCTGACCGTACCTTGTTGAAAAAAAGAGCTCGAAGGTTTAAATTCAGAGCCTTATCATACGTCCATCGATTGAACAAGGAAGTCGTAAAATTCGTCGAACAAATGGTCAATTCAAAGGGATTTCCAATAGAAATAGCACCGGTTAATGGTGTTTGATATCCTTCTTCACCCAAATACTTGACCAAGACATTTGCACCCATTGAAAACCCCACACCTAGAAATGCTTCTTGTTGAAATTGATACTTGATACTCAATTGAGTCAATACATGACGAACATCATCGGTATATCCACTGGAAAAGAGTTGAGCACTTGTAACGGGTGTATTGGCACACCCTCGAGCATTCAGAACGACACATTGCCAACCCAATTGATGACAATGAGCAATTGTATTACAAATATACTTTTCAGTACTTCCACCCGTGAGACCAGGTAGTAAAATCATAGTACGACGTGTTGGGTGAATATCTGATACCCACGTGGTGGTTGAGTCTGAGTCGGTTCGTCTTCTTTTTCTTTCATCTTCTTCTTCTTGTTTGTTTTCTGAATCTGATAATAGTGCCCAATCTAGTGAAATCGTCCCACCATCTGGTAATTCAAGTAATTGACGTTTATAATGGATGGATGGGCCTTTTTTATTGTCATGTGCAAAATAAATCGTTTGCAAATGACCGTTAAATAAACGTATCGGTGAGTAATATTTATCTATTGCTTATATATTACACCAAATTATACACACACATATATGGAAAGAAGGTCAGTAAGGAAAATAAACAGGAAATCTATCGATAATTTTCAGTCTCAAAACATTAGAATAAATTACTTACTAATACTCGGACAAAGTGATAAAAGTCGCGTGTTTCTCTCTGTAACTTGATACACGAGTTTTGGGCTCTCGACAAAACGTGAAACGTACCAACGTCTGAAAATTGAACAAAGAAAGCGACTGAACGTCCTTTGAACAACACAAAACGCAAAAAAAAACAATGGAAGTCGCACGTGATGCTGGAGCAATCGCGTCATGGTATTTCCCATTATATGCCCGGGCTTTCATTCGCTAAGGTGAATTCCATGGATTCATGAGTTCCATAATTTGTGTATTGCACATGAAATTCGTGCTTCTTATGCTACTCCTCGCGTACACAAATAAAGGGTTACCGAAGAGCCGGAACTTTATTTCTCTGCCATGTGTAAGAAAAAGCACTTTCTTATGGAAGGTGGAGAATTGGTATCTTAAACAAAGCAGAAGTCAAAGCACCTTAGCTTCCTACCAGTGCTTACGTGATGGGTTGTTAGCTAGTTTTTCAATGTAGTTCAATCGCTCGTTGTGTTTGACGAGTTGATCCGTTCTGTCTAGAAAGAGCGAAAGACGGCTAGCTAATTAATATCAGCAACCGTCCGACTCCCGTACACATGTTTTTTTTCTACGATGAGTGCATTACGTTCAGATGTAACGTGTTTAACATCATCCTTGGTCCACAATTACTCCTCCCTGTCTTCAATGGGAGAGAGTCAGCGAGCTACAATGTTTTGAGAATCCTGACACGATTAACGAACGAGCTGTCCCAATGTGTACAATGCTACGGCAATTAAGCCCCCTTCCACTGCCATTTTAACCGGCTTGACATTGAGATAATATCAACGTCATTTCGGGGGGTATGAATAGCGGTGCTTTCCATTACTCACACGTGATCTCTGTGACAAGCTATATAGTTTGCAGTTCTTCGACTAGAATTGCAGCTGAGAGATTAGAAGAAATACGTCATATACTCTATCAAGCTACTATGTCGCCGTTTTCTTTCACTTGGAGAACGAAATGAATGGATATTCCGCCATCATGTCGCTTCAAAGTAACAACGAAATGAATGGTCTTTTTTTCCTTTTGTTTCTTAACTCGTGTCTATGTGTTGTTATAGTAGACTATTAGTATCTACTTTCCTATTAATTCGACAATCGGTCGAGCGACAGGTCTCTCCCATCCTGCAAAAAGACTTGAAAGAGAGAGAGAGGGGCTTTGTTCGGCCTTGTCGGAACTGAATGTTTTTGCTTTATTTTCATTGGAGAATCAAATCAGCTGAAACGCACTGATTGGTTCAATCTGAATCTGCTCATCTCCCTTTTGACCATCGCCAGCCGATGAAGTCCAGACCAATCGTCCTCTCGTACCCCTCTTTCTGCGTGGTTGTGAGTCAGTCAGTCAGTCAGTCAGAGCAGACGAAGAAACTATCAAGAGGTGTGTCGTATACTCCTAGTAGTACCCTTTGTTTTCTTTCCTGCTACTTGACATTAGAAAGTTTTCACTGTCATTCCCACTTTATACGTGACAAACCACGCAAACAAACAGTCAAATCCAATCGTAAATCCCACAGTGGATACAACACCTCAGTCACTTTGCTCTCTCTCTCTCTTAATACCACGTCACGTTATTACTTTCAAGTTCCTTTTAATGGCATTCCATTCTAGTCCTTCAAGTCTAAACGATACTAGTAAATATGGTTATCCATTGAATTTTGATTGGAAACATCCCTGGCCACGTGCTCCAATGCCAAAGAATGAAGATGAGCGATTAGCAGAGTTAGCTCGTTATCGGATTCTCGAGACGGAACCAGATGAAAAATTTGATAAACTCTGTCGCATTGCGTGCAAGGAAATGAAGTGCCCAATTGCAGCTGTGAGCTTTATTGATAAGCAGAAACAATGGTTTAAAGCAAACAGTGGACTTACACAACGTCAGATTCCACGTGATGTCGCACTCTGTGCACATACGATTATGCACGCGAAACGTGCGCTTGTGGTCGAAGATACGTCATTGGATGAACGTTTCCAGCATAATCCACTGGTGACACGTGCTTCGGCCGTACGTTTCTATGCAGGTGTGCCCATAACAACACCCAATGGGTTTTGCATTGGCTCGGTCTTTGTTTTTGATGTCAAGGGTCATCATAATGTCGATGCAAAGATTCTCCACAAGATTGCAGCCAAAGTACTTAAATACATGGATGAACGACTCAAGAACATGGCCGTGACTAACGGTGAAAACTTGCCCGAGTCAGTATCTACATCTACAACCCCAACGTCGCGGTCGAATGCGGCACCTCTTAAGCGGAAAACAGTCTCGCCGCCAATGTCACATGCAAGTACGGAACAGCCAGCTGGAGAGACAGCATTGCGGGAACAGCAGTTAGCTCCTCCAACGCCTATGAAGCCTGAACCTGCTGCTGAGCCTGTGCCCGAGTTGGAGACTACAAACGCTGACAGCGGCGCAATTGTACAATCGGCACCAGTGACAAGTACAGCCATTGAGGCACAAGGACAGGGACAGGGTGGACTGGGGAACATGGGGTCAATGCTCATGAACTTGCTCGCGCGTACGACAGAGACGCAACAGCAACTTGCCGCACAACAGGGAGTCATGTTTGAGACATTGGGAGAACACTCGAGCCAATTGGACTCGCTTGGCCAATCCATGAGCAAGCTGGAAAAGCGCTTTGAACAGGTGCGAATGATGAAGGAGCAGCAGCAGCGGAATGCAGGGAATGGAAACCGTCGACCCAAATGCGTGTAACATGTGCGCTGTTAATTGTGGTCAAGAGAGCGTTTTAGGAAGCTGAAGAGCTTGAATCTCTGAGCAGAATAAATCGAGAGAGGCGACATGCAACTCGTTATGGACCGTAAAGTATCTATACGCCTCTCCGTTTCTCACACTATTCCGATTTGAGCCTAGTCAATGTGTTGCATTACAAAATATATATGTGCTGTGGCATTTTAGAATCTACACGTACGTCATTTTCGATGTTCAGTTCATGTTTCTGCTAGGAGAAGCTAGTAGACATCATCTATTTTAAACTCAATGCGAGAAGTCTCAAGTAAAAAGAAGCAGTACTTGTGACTCAAATGCTGGTTGAGAAGCATGAAAGTATCGACGCTTTTAAATGAGACATTGAAAGCAAAACTTTTGACATAGCTATAGTGTCCTCATCATGGACAACACGACGCTGTATTTGGAATATGCATATGGCCAAACATTGAATACCTTCGTGATTGCTACTGTCAAATGCGGCTGGTAGAGAAGGAACCGGCAAGAGCTGATTGGTGTTGCACAGTTGCAAAGGTGACATTTGGGAGACAAACTCACCACTCGTCAAAAGGATTACGCCGCGCAACACCCAGACAAGATTGTCAAGCTCAATCAACTCCATTCCGACGCCAATTATGCTTTGAAAACTACAGGTCACCAACGATAGCACGCGTATTGATGGATCCGATGTTGAACATTCAGTGGAGCACGACAAAGTCATACGAGTGAGTCTTGGGCTATCTCGATGACGCGTCCCATTGATTCGACTCCAGATTAATGTTAAATCATCGTGACCACCTTTCAGTACTGCAGTGTGCATCTCTACCATATGCACGAGGACATTGCCGTTCATTGTCCTGCTCAATTCGATGTGAATGTGAACACCGGTCCAACATTAAAATTTTCCCAGCGAAGCAATCCAAAGATAAGGTTGACTGCGGCTTGATGTGCAGCAGCATCGGTGGCTTCAACGCTCATTCGGCCCGATATACGCACGACACAGTATTCCTGGTTCAGCTCCGACCAAGCAGTGTCAAAGTCTGTCAGCATCGCTAAATTTGCGGCCCAAATCTGTCTTACATCCTGCGACGGTTTGCGGTTAACTGTGCAACTTCCTATCACGTAACCGGCACTTGTCCTTTGACGGTATCGAAGATAATGGTTTGTGGCAACCTGATCTCGACATTTCAGTTGACGCCGAAGCACATAAGTATCGTCGTTAATGACCTGTAATAGAGTCATCGACTGCATTGCTGCGTCTACAGGTCTGGAATAACTCTGCATCTTGAGTTCATTGTCCCACGTGTGCAACATGGCAGACAATGGCGTCACATGGTAGAATGGTTTTTCAAACGAGAACAACACTTCATCATTTTCTCGATGGTATTGTACTTGCCATCCCAAGAACGGTGGAAGACATCGAATTGTCGAGTCCAATTTCCTCACTGCTGCTTCTTGTGCTATAGTCTGCTTTGCAATTGTCACTCGATCATGTGTGTCTTGAATATACAACAGTACTTGGTCATAGGTCACTTGTATCCACGAATCCGTCGTCATACCTTCTCGATCTTCTACACCTCTTCGCTTGATCTTTTCTTCTTGTGTCATCAATGAGTCATCATTGTAAACATCATCATACCATCGCTCCAATGTTTCTTGAAATTTATTCTTCTCATGTAAAACTTGCCGAAAGTAGAAATTTTCATCTTTTAATCGAACTGCTTCTTCAATTAACTTTGTATACTGAAATGATGATGATAACATCAGTTCTCCTGACCTTCTTTTCCATTGGCATCTCTCCTCCTTCTCCGTACTATTATTCACAACAATATGATCATCATTCTCATCATGATGGATACATGTCATTGTGACAGTTTCAAACGCCTTGGAATAGAGTCGGTTTCTAGTTTCTTCATGTTGAAGTTCAAGACAATGTACTGTCTCACGTAATTGCTGCATCATGATCTAGGAGATATAAAAAGACCATAAACATACAGTACATTGGAGTCAGATATGTTAATTTCGGATAGAAATAATGGTATATCTCCATTCTTCTTCTTCTTCTCTCTTTACAGCAATAAAGATATATAAATGATGATGATGACTACCAACCCTTTCTTTCTCACGAGCGAGTCGCATTTGATTACGATTCTTTCTTCTTCGTTGAGATTGTGGCGATAAAGTTTCAGATTTCTTCGGATTCATCGGATCTGAAGTTCGACAACTACTGGAAATATTCACGTTTGGTTCATGTGATACTTGAGATTTAGTAAAATGAGGTTGTTTTGTTCGAAGAAACGTCTTTTCTTTTGGATTAGAAATACTTGTATGTGTCATACTTTATCTGCTGCTGCTGCTTCTTCTTCTATTCTTGTATTTATAAGTATAATGGATCAATTAGAACAAGAAGAAGAAGAACCTTTGACTGCTGTCATATTGTATTGTACTTACTATCGCATTGATTAGAGTGGGACTCTAAATCAAGTAGAATCACTTACTACTGATTGATTGATTGGCTGTTACCAGAAGTTATCGAATCAGTGATTTTCCTCAACGAGATTCGTTAAAATTCTTTCTTTCTTTCGACGGTATATTTTACACGTCCCAGCTGTAAATGATTGCATCATATTCTGTAACTTTTGATCGGATCGAAAAAAAACCCAAATTTGAAAAATACTACAGCTTGTTGGGTTTTATTCACTACTGAATGAATCAACGAAATACAAATATCACTCGAATAACACAAGGACTAATCACGAAAAGTACTACTCAGCTGTATGGTTTTTACTACTACTATCAAACACGACCAGTAGTTCCGATCAAATGCTTGTCACTAATACCAAATAGTCTTCAAATTTGCTCCAATGTATCGTATTTACTGAGCCAATTTACATTACCATACAATGTTCAAGTTTAAAAATACTCGTCCTAACACCTCCTTCTTCTTCTTCTTACCATTTGCCTAAATCATTCTCACCCTTCCAAGACTTTCCAGTACTTGATTCCAAATTGGACGAGCTAGTGGCGGTAATAACTCATCCAAGAACATATCGACCTGATGTGACGTGATAAAATCCAGATCCGATAGAAACGTTTTAAACGGCAGTAAAGCTGATTCATCCTGTCGCTCCACAATGTACAAAAGCTGGTGAGATCTCTTTTGCAGCTCACGCAATGAGATGCCAGCGTGTTCGACAAACTCATCAAGACTAAAGATTTGCTTGCAGCAGCAGCAAGTGATTCGGCGCGTCAATGGTAATGTGCGCATGATAGTCATCCAGCCAGCTTTGCGTGGAAATGAGCCTTCGGGTGCTGTTGTTTTTGACCGCACGACACGGTCAGCAAGACTGCCGTTCTGCATATTGATCACATAACTCGGTGACAGGCAGACAACCTGGGCGACGAAATCCAAGCTTGCTGGATCAATCGAGCCCACTGCGGTTGAGTTTGAAATGCTATTCTCGTGCTTTGGACGCTTGAATAACGCAAGTGCTTGGAGCCTAGAAACACGACGTTGAAGCAACTCCGTGACAGCATCCGGATGTGTGGTACTCGTTGTAGGTGTCTTGACGGAAGCGAGTATCTCTTGCTTTGTAGTGTGATTTCGACGCGGCTTTGTCACTGTGTTTTTCGCACAATGTCGATCGGACCAGTCTCTCAGAGCCCGAATAAAATGTTTGAGTAAAGTGTACTGCGTAGCGTCACGGTGCTGCACGAACAAAAAAGGCATCGACTGTTTGTTGGCAGCGTTTGCGTTTTTGACCAAACTACTGTCAGTGTGGTGTACAAACTCGGAAAGATTGAAAGCTTTGGCACAACAGTTGCACTCAATAAGCGAGTGCTTTTCCGGAAACCACTTGCACTTGCCCGTTTTCATCACACCAGATTCTCGAACGCTTGATGTTTGTGAGCACATGACAGGAAAACACCAATTATCGTTCTTTTCATCACGCACTATCTGCACAGCACCAACAAGGTCATCTCCTGAAAGCTCTAACTCTTCTGGCTCGCTAACAGGCTCAACTTTCATTATCTCGTGGTCATCGACTGACGCACGCCGTGTCTCGGACGTTGTTATCTGTAGTTTCGGCAAGCTGGCAACGTGGTCATCAGATATGGTGCTGCTTCCTCGTATGCGTCGACCGTGAGGTAGCAAATTTGACCGGCTTGGGGTCGACGCGGGTGGCTTTCCACCAGTATTGAAAGTCCCATTCTTCCTTTGAACTTTTTGCTCTTTTTTGCGTTGCTTCTCTAGCCCCATGTCGTTCATCATCTGCACCAACTTCATCCGGCGATACAAAACGGTTTTCTCAGGCTGCGAGCAAGTAGGGCAATCACAGTCCCACATGTACCCCTCACTCTCGTAAAAGTCCAAAAATGCAGCTTTGCATGACGAACAGCGAAACATATTGCCACGACGCTCCGGCACTTGAAGCTGTAAGCGTTCTATCTGATCAAAAATCGGTGTACTCTCATCGACATAGGGTTTAAATGCATGCAGTAAGCACTTCGCATGATATACACGATGACAGGCTTGACAATGCATTAGCACGCAAATGTTTGCGACTGACTTGCAAAACTCACAGTGTCGATTGTCAGACGTACTCATCTCTCGCACTAAATGCGTCCCCTTCGTCTTGGTTTTCACATTCTGTTTGCTCTTAGACTTGCTCCTTCTCCTTACACGTAACTCTGAACTCGTGCTCGTGAACGAAAGTGGTGACATATCTGTGCCAATTGATGAAAGTCTGTCCAAATTTGCTCGATATGTTGTACTTTGACGCTGCTTTTTTCCACGTAACAACTTCTGCCTCGTACTGCTGCCAATTTCAAGTGTATTTTCCTGCATTTTCATCGTAGTCACTCGTGATCGCTTCAGTGCTCGATTCAGTCCATCCTTTGTTGTCATTTTGTTTTTCTTCGTACTTTCCTGCATTTCCATATCAATATCCATATTTTCCAGTTCCAAAGCGGAAGAAATTAACATTTCCAATGAACCAATTCGCTCTTGCTTAACTTGACGCGTCATGCCAGCAGTAGCAGCAGCTGCAGCAGCTCTTGATGGTCTTTGATTATTCGGTGTCACTTGTTGTAAACTCTTCTTTTTCATTGATCGTGGTCGAGTCAAGTTGGAATCAAATGCTGTCGAGCATTTCGCTGCACGATTGAATGAAGCCATCTTGTCAGTCGTTTGTATACTAATCACTGGTGTGACATGCCTTGGATTACGACTACTAGTACTACATTGTGACTCTAGCTTCTCGTTGTGAATCGTGACACAATCTGTCAGTAATGGCACCATCTGATGACTATGACTAATGCCACCATCTGACATCAGACTACTGCCACTCATCACTCGTGACACCGTCTTGTCCTTCGTAACGTCTTGTGGCTTTATTACTGTCTCCTGTCTTCTCCGGTCATTTTCCGAATGTAAAACTTGGTCGGCATTGACTTGAGAGTGTTGTAAAGCTGATTCATTTGTTGATTGGGTAAGTACAGTCATATCCATAACAGCAGAAGACTCGGACAAGGAGGAATTGTTGTTTACAGGTGTCATAATTTTTGTCACTTGATTAATATATTGAGCCGAAAAAACCATAGAAAAGCATGGGATGTAGCCATTTAGAAATGGCTACATATCTATCTAACGAAGAATTGTTGTGGTAGCCATTCAAAGTCTTGCACCTTGTGCGTAGAGGTACGTCTTTATGCTCTTTTTACTATCTACTAGCACAACGGCATTTTCAATGCATTCATCACCTTACTAACGCTACTGCTTTGTATATCTGATAACCTTTGATAGTATCTTACTGTATACGTGAAATTGCATCTCAATTGTCTTGTCTAGTGTCAGAATAAGGAAAAGACTCAAGATGTCTCTCCCAGTGAAAGGTATCGTCCGACTTCGTGTGCTGGCAGGTAAAGCAACACCATCACCGGCTATTGGTCAAGCACTAGGTCCTCTTGGAGTGAATATGATGGAATTCTGCAAGGCATTTAATGAACGCACGTCCAAAATCACGGAAAATATCCCTGTGCCCGTGGTACTCACAGCCTACACGGACCGTACATTTGTGTTTGTCACGAAGACGCCACCATCTTCGTGGTTTCTCAAGAAAGCAGCAGGTATTACATCAGGATCAGCAACTGCTGGACAGCAGGTCGTGGGAAGTGTACATTTACGTCAGATCTACGAAATTGCCAAAGTCAAGCAGCAAGACGAGATGGTCGATTACATTGACCTTCCATCCATTTGCAAGACCCTTATCGGCACGGCCAAGTCAATGGGACTTGATGTTTTGCCGTAAACGCTTACTGTTTCCAGTTTGTCATGAGAGTAAAAAAAGCTCTTACCAGCTAGCTACAAAGCAATGAGTAGCTTGCTACACACATATGTTTCATTCGTTTTATTCTTCTGTTCATGTTAATTTGAGCTGGCACACAAGTCGAGTCGCCTGTCAACTGCCGAATCTCCTTTCACTTTTACTTACTTTACTCATCCGTATTACTCCAAGCTACTTCAAATGGATGTGAGCGCTGAATAAGCTGTCGTCAAATAATACAGAATTATGCTGCAGACACATGACGATCAGATCCGCTCACACTGTGCTCCCTCCAGATTACAGGCGTAGCTTGATGATACTTGGTGACAGGAGCCTCCGCCTTTGCAAAGACTAGCGTGAGTGTAACTGATTGGAAAGCTTGCAATGATGCAATGCATGCTTGAAACTTCTGCAATGAGGTCTTGGAAGGTATTGACCGGCTTGCACAGCGTCTACTCACCAAGTTCCATCTTTATGTCGCTGTCGCGAAAAACTGATGTGCGCCGAGAGCCAATAATGTCGCTGCCCATATAACTGAAGTCATCGAAATGCATTGCCATGATGCCAGATCCAGTAGACGAGCTCAGCACACCCACCACAGGCGAATCTGCTACTTCCTGCTGTTTAAAGACATTCGGTACATACTGCAAGTTGGCAATAAGCGCTGCGCTACTAGTCCGTGCACGGCTGCCGTGCAAATCTTTCGACACCGGCTTGAAAGGAGGCTCCACTCGACGTTCAAATAGTGCATCCCAATCGACACCCTTGAACCACGGGTGTCCCATTATCTCTAGTGCACCATCAATTCCGCAGCCCATCCGCTGCTGCGGATTCTTGACCAATAACCGCTGCAGAAAATCAGTAGCCAAGGGTGAAAAGTGCTCAGAAGGGTACAGCGGATCCTTGCTTAGAATGTTCTGAAACATTTGACGGCGATTTTTGTCCCAAAACGGCGTATGTCCTTGAATCATCTCGTATACAAGCACACCGTAGCTCCACCAGTCGATCGTATTGCCATATGATGTAGATGTCCGTTGACTACAAAGCAATTCTGGCGCCAAGTATTCAGGGGTACCAACAAACGTAGAGCCTTCATCATCTTCCTTGGATAAGCCAAAATCTGTAATGGCAATGTGCCCTTCACTGTCCATCAGAATATTTTCCAGCTTTAAATCACGATACATTATGTGCATGCTGTGTAAATGCGCCAGCGACAGCACTAGCTCCGCAGCGTAAAAGCAAGCCCGTTGCTCCGAAAAGCGTTTTTCTTTCCGCAAGTGTACGAATAGCGATCCGCCAGAGTAATAGTCCATAACCAAATACAGCTTCTGGTTGTTCTGAAAAGCATATCGCAACCGTACTACAAACGGGTGCTCCACATGTTTCAGAATGCGCTGCTCCGACTTGGTGTGTTCAACCTGTTTCTTCTTGAAAACGTCTTGCTTCCGCAACACTTTCATTGCATACACACGACCAGCATTTTTACCTTGTTTCTTCTTTGCCAAAAACACTTTGCCGTAAGCGCCTTTACCGACCACAGACAACAAGTCAAAGTCATTAACGCTCATCGAAGTGGAGATGACCATACTCCGTCTTGAACTGCGTGCGCTGCTGGTCCTACGTCCCAAATAATTCCCATAGCTATTCACCTCTTCTTGATGAAACTCTGCATCCTCTAAATGCTCGTGTTGATGTGGCGCTGACGACATAGCTGCTGCACCAGCATACGCATATTGCGATAACCGACTCATTTCGTCCATCAGTTCATCCTCTGCTCGTTCATCTGGCATTGAACCTCGTGCACTATCAAAAAATGCAAACACTGTGTTCATACTTGCTGCAATTGTCCACGCTGTATTAGACGATCGTTGTTCAACTGGTGATGTTGGTTCGCCTGCAGAGAGACTTAAACATCCTAATTGTGTACAATCTTGTAATTGTGTCCCCGGACTTTCCTTCGATCGTTGCCAATTAATTGCTCGTGTACCTAATAATCCTCGAACTTCTTCCGTATCATCCATTTTCACTCGATGACTTGATTCAATGAATGCAATTGCTGCTAACTTTGCTCGTAAAACTGGTTGGGTACAGACTAAATGTTTTGTTAATGCTCCACCACGTCCATAGGCAGCAATATAAACCTGTGAACACGATGCACGAATGCCATAGGTTTCCCATACATATTGTACATGTAATTCAGGTGTACTGGACGATGGAATCGGTATTTTTTCCATTCGCTCTCCAGTGACTGTATTTGTACTTGGATTCATCACAACAACACCATAACCTTTTGATAATGCTGTATGTAAATAAGGAAGCATTGAACCAGAACGATATTGATTTGGTGTCTCAATTGCTTCTAATACAAGTGATCGACTCCAAATACCCGGTTGAATCCCATTTCCACTCACAATAACAAGTAATAAACGACGACAAATGTGCCAATTGGCACTCATAAAGATACTACAATGTGCAGGATTCGTAAATGATGGAATAAATGTCTCGATGAATCCTAATTGAATCATTTTCGCTTGTTCCTCGAGGACAATCTGGTGAAGTAACGCTTCCATTTTTTTTGTTTTTTCAAGGTTGTCTTCTTGTCTTATGTTATGATAAGGAGTAGTAGTATTAATATATAAAGAGAGAGAGAGAGAGGACAGACCGGGTATGATCGATTTGTACAGGATGTAGCCATGTATAGTAATGACGTATAGAAAACCGGTTTGGGTTGGGATCGGAAGTAACATAAATGTCAAAAATAGCAAACAGTAGGATAACAAGTGTTACTTTGTGTAAGTATCCATGTTGTTTTAGGTGGTCCACATGCAACCATCACGTCGAGGACCGTCTCACGAGATTCCTTTGAAACTTCTTATGATTATGATGGAGAAACATGTTTTAGCTCTTGAAATGTGATGGATGGTGTTTGATACTACTGCTTTGGTCCCTCCCACACATTAAGATCAAGTGTGTATTGTCTTCATAATTAGAATTGAATTGTGTTTGCAACGTTGCCATCTCATCGTTTACACTTTAGGATGCAGCACACCTCGTCTCGACTATTCATGTGGTTCTTTGGCTTCGTATTGATGATAATAGTATCGACGACGACCGTTACAAGTCAATTTGATGATCAATCGATATTGTTTGGAGATTCTCAGAAAGGACAACAGACGTCAATGCAGTCTCAAATGTTTCCAATGAATGGAAATGGAATTTCTTCTTCATCTTCATCTTCTTCTTCATTGTCTGGAATTGTCCATGGTTCAAAATCCATTTCTTCAACTGATAATGCAAATGATGACATGTTTGATCGTAATGTGGATGATTTTATGAGTGATGAAGATGTAGAACCGAGTGATAGTGGCAGTTACAGCATGGAAACGGGGTCTGGTAGTTCAAGCTTGGAATATGGATGTGACTGTCGATCAGTCCGTCGTGTTTCGCTCATGGGAGCGTCGGATTATTGTCTTGCACCAAATGCTCCACTTAGCAGCAAGTGTGGTAATGTTGATCTTGCGGAAAGTGGTGCTTGCCCAATTGTTGGAGCTCAACCGTGCTCTGCAAAAGGTCACGTTCTCGCCAATGACTCGTTCTGTGAGCTGGACGACAAGGATGAGACGTACAAGTGCGTGGCCAGCAAGGATGATTTGGAGATTCAAAAGAACGGCAAGAAGAGGAAGAAAAATTCCAAGCGCAACCACGGGCGAGAGTCGTCGACGAGTACAGCGTCATCGCATCTATTGCTGACAGCACGCGAAGTAGTGGCGATCGTCGTTTGCGTGGCAGTCGGGGTGATGGCTGTAGTGTAGACGTAATCACTGGCGGTCTGATTAAGTTGAATGCCACGAGAACAAAATGTTTCAGAATTTGAAGTATCAACAGCACATTGATTGAATGCAAGAATTGTTAGCTGTCTAGTTGTATCTTGGCGTGCTATAATCGACAATCGTCCTTAGCGCGTTGTCAGTCACCTCTTTTACTCTCTTCAGGTAAAAGCACAAAGTTATGGAGACGCAGCCATTTCCAAGAGGTAAAGTAGTCCTGAGTCACGAGCATCAACGGCAACATTACACATCCTTGTGCAATAAGCAGCCCAACGAGATTCTCGGTGGTTGTGTGAAAGTACGACGCCGTAAAAAGCAGCAAGTACGTCGCCATTCCGCCAACAATGAGGATCCAGATGCGTAGCATCGTACGTTTCACACTCGGTCCAGTACTTTCAACGTCTAGTGCAAACCATTCAAACAATAATATTGCCAGGTAGTGGCTCACCAGCAGGACAATATGGTCCGAGTGGTCAAAACCAACTGGACATCCCTTTCCACGACGAAGATCAGCGTACCAGCAAGAATGATCCGAGTAATCCCAGATAAAATGCCCTAGTTTCTTCTCAATCTGTCCGAGTCCCATGTACAACACGATTGTCCGCAGCGTCATTACTGCAGCATACAACAGTCCACGACGCACGTATGCTCGAATGCGACGCATGGTCACGTTCGGTCCAAGCATCATGGATCCATAATTAAATACTAATGCTGACAATGGAATCGCCCATGCTCCCTACAATACAATAACAATAACATTACAATAACAAAACATTACAATACAATAACAACAGTAACATGAATATTGTATCAACTTTATACAGATTATTCAAGCTTTTCAAGACAATGGACGCACTGTTAGAGACCCAAGCACAGGCATAAGGTCCATGCCACTGTAACAAGGAGCTTCTCCATAACCTCCAGGTTCATTTTTGCAACAAATAGTCTTTGAATCGATTGATGCATGAATATGAAGCCAATTCGAGTCACATCTAAATAAAAAAAAAATCCCAAATATTACATTACGAAATATAACATTAGATCCAAATCATACCATTTACTACCATAAACTCTCTTATTACATACTCGCCCTGGACACGAACAAACTTATGCGGAAAACGATACGATGCGTAAAAGACTACAAGTAGTAGCACTGTATTTGCAATAATAAAGATACGCCGCATTGTTTTTTTATGTAATGTCAGCAACACTTGTTGCGTCACCGAGAGCTTCGTCGGTCCTGTGAACCTATGACCAAGCATACTGACAAAATAACAATACAATCAAACCAGATATAAAAAAGCATGGTGTAGTGCACACCAAGTCAACAACACACCACGAGAACATCAAATACGTGAGACGCGACCGTTATAGTTGAAGTCGACACAAAGCATGAAAACATTCCTAGATAATATTTGTCATTATCAAATTTTCCTTGCCATTCCTTCATAACACGTTTGATTGGAAAAAGAATACTAGCACTAAGTAGATACTAAATAGTATGGAAGAAGAAGTACAAGCTGTAGTAATTGATAATGGATCAGGTATGTGTAAAGCTGGATTTGCAGGTGATGATGCACCACGAGCTGTATTTCCATCGATTGTAGGCATGCCAAAGCATTTAGGTATTATGGTAGGTATGAATCAAAAAGAAGCTTATATTGGTGATGAAGCGCAAGCAAAACGTGGTGTCTTAGCATTAAGATATCCCATTGAACACGGTATTGTCACGAATTGGGACGATATGGAAAAAATCTGGAGTCACACCTTTTATAATGAGCTCCGAGTAGCACCGGAAGAACATCCAGTGCTACTTACTGAAGCTCCTTTAAATCCAAAAGCAAATCGAGAACGTATGACACAGATTATGTTTGAGACGTTTAATGTACCAGCAATGTACGTGAATATTCAAGCAGTGCTATCGTTATATGCTTCTGGACGAACAACGGGTTGTGTCCTGGACTCTGGTGACGGAGTTTCACACACAGTACCCATCTATGAAGGATATGCATTGCCACATGCCATTATGCGGCTTGATATGGCTGGACGTGATTTGACGGACTATATGATGAAGATTTTGACTGAACGTGGCTATTCGTTCACTACAACGGCGGAGCGCGAAATTGTGCGGGATATTAAGGAGAAATTGACGTATGTCGCCATGGATTATGACGAAGAAATGCAGAAAGCGACACAGTCGTCAGCATTGGATAAGACGTATGAACTGCCGGACGGAAATGTTATTGTAATTGGCAGCGAGCGATTCCGTACGCCAGAAGTGCTATTCAATCCCTCCATGATTGGTCGCGAGTGCTCGGGTGTCCATGGCTGTGCTTTTCAAACGATCATGAAGTGCGATGTCGATATTCGACGAGACTTGTACAATAATGTCGTGTTGTCGGGAGGTTCGACGATGTTTCCAGGTATTGGTGACCGTATGACGAAGGAAATGACGAAACTAGCACCAGCTGCGATGAAAGTCAAGATTATTACGCCACCTGAGCGTAAGTACTCGGTCTGGATTGGAGGCTCTATCTTGGCTTCGCTGTCTACGTTCCAGCATATGTGGATCTCAAAGACGGAGTATGACGAGTCGGGTCCATCCATTGTTCACCGCAAGTGTTTTTAAGGTCAGGGGTAAACAATTACCCAAGTGCAAAGGCACAAGTGGAGATGATCATTGAAACACCTTGAGGCTCAAGTGCTTCGGTGTTGAGTAATTTGATGTACTGCATAATATTTTGACTGAAATGATGTCTTGTTGTGAGTTGTTTAGAGTGAGTGATCCATGTATGTATGCAGAAGTACGACGCCTTCATTCGCAAAGATCCTTTCGCTAGCCTTCTACATTGTCATACATCGTGCTTCTACACCTCTGCACTGCTATCGTAGGGGCTAGTGTGCTGCTGAAGAAATTGAAGGACTAACAGGATTAGATTATGTCAAGGAAGCCGTTGCATATTAAGTGAGGATTGGAAAACTGCTGACAGTCACTCTATGATTCATTCAGTAGTAAAAAACCCAACAAGCTGTGGGGCGGGTCTCTATACTTATTTAAAGTATAGTGACTATACATGTTTGCATAATAATAACAGGCTGAAGAGCCTAGCACTAAGTATAGAGTAGGTGCTTCTATATTTCGTGTTAGAAGATAAACATAAATATGAATCAGCTTCAAACCTGCTCTATAAGCCTTACAGCTTGAGCGTTCTATACCTCGTGAGGAATTTGTATCTTTGATACTAGTCTCTCTGAGACTCGGTTGTTAATACCGATAGGCACAAGCTTACGAGCTAGCCTAGGAGGGTTAAGCACCCTAAGACGTAGAAGCTCTCTGAGCTTGACTTCCTCTGCACATAGTGCATAGGTAGCTTTGCTACAATAGTTTGACTACTTCTTCTGCACATAGTGCATAAGTAGCGTGGCTACAGTAGCTCGGCTACAAATAGAACGTTCAAGCAGTGATGCTTATAGAGCATCACTGCTTGGGGTGCCCGTGCACCCACTAAACGGCATACCAGTGGTGCTTGCACCAGGTGAAACATCTGCACAAGATGATCACCAGTTCACCCGTTGGGTAGAACGAGCATATAAGCTCTCAAGTTTGTCAAACTTGCGCTTAAGCGCTAAAGCGCAAGACGTTTGGCTAGAACGTCGGCTACGCTTTAACTTCGCTAAGCTCAAAGCAAAGCATCAATTACCCTCCACATACAGGTCAAAGACTTGTGGGGAGCAAGCTTTTGAAGCTGTTGCCCGTACCTCTCACACGAGTGATGTACCGACATTGGCTTCTTCTGAAGGTCAGAGGCGAAGCCATCCTACTGACACTACTTCCACAGAACCTAATACTAGGAAGCGTCCGACGACAGCTGTCGTCGCTTCTGACCGTCCTAGTCAAAAGCGTCAACGGCGTCAGGGAAATCTTGCCGAAGGGGTACCTTATACTCCCACGAGTCCTACGACTGGGGGTAACCCCTCCACTTCACCAAGTATTGGGTATGACCCTGGTGATGACGCCGAGCCAAGAGATGTTCCGCGCGGAACTGATGACCCAGTTCATCAATCAGCGTCGGAGGAGGTCGATGACCCATTGGCCTCTCATCTCTCTGAGATCGAGCGTCGCCTGACACTCCTGGAGCGTGATGCTCTTGCATTGGTGAGGTTTCACCTGTCATCGCTCGATGACCGTGTCGATCGACACCGTCGATCCTTTGAGCGTTATTGCTCTAAAACCTCGGATCGCTTAGCGGCGATTGAGCGTTCTCAAGCCGAGCTTCGATGTCAGATTGAACTCCTGGTACGCCTCCAGCGTCCATATGCACCTCCGGTGCCGTACTACTCGCCTCCTTCGGCCGGAGATATGGGGACAACCCCTCGAAGTCTACCGAGGCAGAATTGAGACATGGCTTTAACAAGCTCACATAGAACAAAGGGTGTGTTCGCATCTTCTTGGGAAGGTTAAGCGAATAGGCTAAGCCTTTCTTGCTTATAACCGGAGAAGGTCCGATAAAGCGTGGATGCAGTTTGGTTTCATATACCGCAGAAATGGCACGTGTCGGTAAATTTCTAGCGTTTAATAAAACCAAATCTCCCACTCTGAACTCGTGTTCATTACTTCTTCCTTTGGCATCTGCTTGTTCCTTTTGAATACTCTGGCTTTCACGTCTTTGACGCGACGTAAGACGTCAAAACGCGTTGACAGAAACGCTTCCACCTTCTTGTGCATCGCAACAGGGCTGATCTCAGCCAATCCTTCGGCTGTCTCTCCCCCCACTAAGACCTGAAGCGCAGGGGTAGCGTTAAGGAACATGAGGGTTTGACCAAACCATTCACATATAATGGGGTGAAGCCTGTCGAGGCATGCACCGCGTTGTTCTACGCAAAATCTACCAGAGGGAGCATCGTGCTCCATTGCTTGGGTGTTTCAACAAAAATATCGCAAAGCATATCACCAGTAACGCATCGGTCTGCGGATGATCCGCCGTGGACATGTCCAGTCGAGTGCCGAGCACTTTTAAAGACGGATGTCCAAAACTTACCCGTAAAACGGGGGTATTTATCCGAACAAATTGCCACAGGCAATCCATGTTGTCAAAACACACGATCCATGAACAGCTTAGCTGTTCCTTCTCCATCGATGAAGTCCAGCACTGCCGCTAGATGAGACATCTTGCTCAATCGGTCTACAAAGACCACAATCCCAGTGTTGCCTGACGCATCACGCGGTAGGCCAAACACAAAGTCCATACTAATGGACTGCCAGAAACCTGAGGGTACAGGCAAACTCGCCAAAGGCGCAGCCATATTAGGCGAGTGTATCATCCTTTGACACGTTTAACACGTACGTACGTTTGTACCAACCCATTGTATAACTTAGGCCACCAATATTGTGTGCTCACCAAGCTGTAGGTCTTCTCAAGACCTAAATGACCACCGAGTGGTGTATCATGAGCCTCATAAAGTATCTGATACTTGAGGTCCTCATCATGAGGCACCACAACACGAGACTGGTCATCCGACCCTGTACTATAGCACAACAGACCATCCGTCAGTGCATAACGATGTAATCTTGCACGACTACGTGGTGGCAGCTTCACCTTAGAGTTGTCAAACTCTGCGCTACCCAGCGCCTGCATAATGGCAACACATGCCTCATCGCGTGCATACGCCACACGGATACGATCCGTTACTGACGAACTCACAACAGTGAGATGAGCAAGCTCGTAGTAAGGTCTACTCGATAACGCGTCAGCCAAAACACTCTGTTTTCCCGGCTTATACTTCACCTCAAAGTTATACTCCGCAAAAAGGAGAGCCAACGAGCCATTCTCTGCGAGAGATGAGGCGATTGTGTCGCTGTGCGTAACGATGCATGATCGGTATAGATTACAAACGGATTTGAGCCCAACAGGTGTACCCTGAACTTAACAAGAGTATACTTTATCGCAAGTAGCTCCTTGTCATGAACTGGATAGTTCTTCTCTGCATCTTTCAGCTGACGAGACTCAAACGCGATGACGCGTTCTCGACCCTCAAAGTCAACTTTTAAAAGTGCACTGCCAATGGCACAGTCCGAAGAGTTACATAAGACGCTAAACGGGAGATCAGGATCAGGCAGAGCCGGAATTGGCGCCTGAAGGATACTCTCCTTAATGGCTTCAAAAGCCTCGTGGTGCTCGGTGTTCCAACACCATTCCACATCCTTTAAAGAAGATTTGATAATGGCCTAGCCACTTCCGCATAGTTGTGACTACACTTATGCAAGTAATTAGCGAAACACAACCACTTGCGGAGGTCTTTCTGTTTCCTCGGAACCGGCCAATCCACTATGGCTTTGACCTTGACTGGGTCTGCCAGGATTCCTCGCTTCCATACCATAAAGGGAACCTCTTCCGCACCGAGAATGCATTTGTCAATATTGGCATATAACTTATGCATCCTCATGCAACCGAGCACAGCTCGCATGTGCTCGATGTGATTCTCCACATCAGTCTTGCCATTTCGGCTCGACTATGAACGAACATATCGTCAAAGTATGTCTGTGCATACGCCCCATGGGGCCGAAGCAACTGCGTCACTAGACGATTGAACGTTGCAGATGCGTCAGATAGCCCTTGGAGCATCACTAACCACTCCCAGAGTATACCGCTCGGAGTGCTGACCGCTGTCAGCGGGATATCACTAGCTCGTATGAGCAGTTGGTAATATCCATCGACTAAGTCGAGGGCACTGTACATCGTACATCCTACCATATTGTCTGAAGAACATTCTTGCGAGAAATCGATGTTTGAGCCGGAATATGTGACTGCATTCAGCTTATTGTAAGCATGCACTATTCGCCACTTCCCATTGGGCTTTTTCACACAAAACGTAAGCGTAGAGTGAGAAGACTTACTCTCACGCACCATGCCAGCCACGTGCTTCTCACGAAAAAACTCGTCAATGACGTCGCATTGTTCTTGTGGCAGCGGCCACTGTCGCGTCACACAATATTTGGTTCCTGGAACCAAGTTAATCTCATGACACACCTCTATCCGGATGTAACCTCGTAGGAGGTTCTCTGGAGACAACATCTCCATATTCCTTCAACAAAGGAAAATAAGGATCCGAAGGGTCCTTCAAGACCTGCGATCCACTACGCGCATTTAGCGCCTTCTTGGTATCTTCAAGAACTGCTTTATCCAAAAGCGATGAGGAGTCCAGCTCCTCCTCAGGTCGTATAACGAACACTTCGGCGATGTCGCCTGCCAGTAAGGCAATGCCAAACTCGGCAAAGGACAACTTGTCCAGCTCTAACAGAGCACTTACTGCGTCTATGCTGAAAGAGCCACCGGCTCTTCAACATCGCCAGTTAAAACATTAACGAGTGTATATAGCTGTTCGTTTTTGCCGTCACTCACGATATTATCATCTCTACTCATGATGCTCTCAGCATCCGACGCATCAGCGCCCACAGGTGTACACATCTCAAGGTCAAAGACCACTTTGTTTACTGACTGCTCCCGGTCCTCCAGGGTCAGTACCTTGTCATGAGGTGCTCGCACCTCGTTGTCATCAAAGACAACCGTCATTTTTGACTTTACCCGACCCTCTTGGGCCAGTACCTCGTCGTTAAGTGCTTGCACTTCG